CCCCCCCCCCCCCCCCCCCGTAAGAGACCGATTAACCCCACAAGTCTCTCTCGCACGTGGGATTTAGGGTAGCGTTGTCTAAGCCGCGACTCGATTAACCAGCGCATTTGTCGCCACTTTTCGTAACACTTTTATCGTTGCTCGGATTTTCCGTGGAACCGGAACGACACACGCGGGGAAGGCCGCGGATAATTCCGCTCTGACACAAGATACGGTCGATCATGCGCACGAGACGTCAAAGATACCGTGACGATTTATGCGCTATAAACAGCCGTAACCGGTGAGTCGCGGATTAGATACACCTAAGTTAGAGTATGCATCATAGTCAGCACGTAACGCAGCATCCCGTAAGTTTTACCACGGAATACGGGCGATACTTTGTTCTCTCTCTCTTTGTTCTGCGTTACGATCAGAAGGGGGATATTTCTGTATCTCGGAACAAACAGCGGCACCATTTTTGCGTTTTTAATGGGAACAAAACAGGAAGTTTTACGAAAGAATGGACCGTTAATTACCGCCGTGTCCCAGTTTTCTCGCGGAAATTATGTCAGACTCTCGAATATTTTCATTCTACCTTCTTTCGCGAAAGCGTCTCGCTTCGAAAGAGAACCCACATCCTAATAGATAGTTTTATTTTAGAGCAGGAAACATTACGTCAGTATTGTGTATATTCGCTAGAATAGACGCGGATAGAGATCGTTTCTCATGCGTAGACAGTATTGCTACAGTCGTAACATTCGCCTTGTTCGAATGGAATGATTTACGGATCTTAGAGACTAAATGACGTATAGGGTGACAATAAAGCGACTTTCGTACGTTTCACACACAATGTATTCTCGTAAGATAGAGAATTATCTGCGATGTTTCGTCGTCGTGTGCAACACACGTGCACTTTATACGTAGCCGCTAATCTTTATTTCACGCGCGTCCGCGTGCAGGGGTGATTTTCCAAAGAAGTATCCCTGACTTTCCATTAGTCGACCTTGTAATCAACTAACGTTGTTCAGAAGAAGCGACATTTTTTTCGCGCACTCGAATGTCTAATAATTATGTTCAATAATCAATTTGTACACCCTGCATTTTTTCTGCACGTTGTTTTAGTTCTCTCTCTCTCTCTCTCTCTCTCTTCCATAAGACGCGTTTTGGAAATTCAATCGAACGACGTCAATTAATTTATCCTTTCTTTATTATTATGACGATTGACATCGCGGATCATTGTACATTTTATTTCGTTGTATTTCTTCACAGGTCTTTTATATCCTCGTGCTATTCGCAAAACGAACGATTTTCGAGAGCTCTATCCCCTCAGGTGTACAATATATACTTGACACACTATGTACATAACGTTAATAATTACTTATATGCGAGTACGGAGTTCGTTTCCTTATTTTTTATTGTGCGTCGTAGAACCGAAGAAGTTTCTTACGGTCGAGCCGCACCCGCGTACACGGCAGAGTGAGCGTCTATCTAATATCAAACGTTCAATCCACAAGCAGACATGGATAGGGGCGTATTATAAATGCCACCGTTGGAATGAGAAAAAGAGATAAGAATAATAACTCCCAAATCGAACAGGAGGGCTCTAATTATCATCGCGGAATAACGTGCGAAATTGGAAGATACGAGGGACTTGCTAAACGAAAACCTTTTTTCGGCGATCGATAGCGATAATACAAACTATCCTCGACGACATTCTCAATTAATATCTCTCTCATAAAAACATATTTTTGGGAAAAGCCTCTATTTTGATTACATCACTATCTCTATTGAAACTGTGATCTGACGGTCAAGAAATTCGCAAGCGCGGTGGCACAAACACACTCACACACACCCATACTCATACACAAAACATGTACACACGGCTTAATTAAGGCGTCTCTCATCAAAACTTAAGACTAATACTTCTGGAGGAGCGCTCTCACGAGCGGATACCTTGCGTTAACGCGCGCGCGCACAAACATAGGAATCCTTTTTTGGAGATAAAATACTTTTGTACACAGCGTCAAAAGAAGGAGCTCTTGATCAAGGGACTAACCGAGGATTGTTACTGTAGGAAGGTCGGATAATCCACCGGGGAAGCGAAGTATGCGAGCGTAATTACAAACTATTAGGCGTCAATAATTCTAAGTAGTTTGTCGAGAATTGCTGCGGCGGGGTGCGCCGTTACGCTTCGAGGATCGCGCGTGCAGTCGTCGTGATGATCGCGTGAACGCGTCAAAATCGTAATGCCGAGGAGCATCTCGATCGGATTGAATCATCCGCGAAGGTCCGTCGGGATTGTTCGCGAGTCGTGAGGATCTGCCGTTGAACGGCGCCGTCCATCCGCAGCAATTCCATGCTCCGAGATGATATCTCATGTAGACAGAGCACCTAGAGCTTCCGTTTGTAAATCAAAAAACCGCCTGGAAGCGTCTTCCTTAATCTCGCGCGAGCGTACTCTGATTTCGGGCCGGGACTTCGTCGTTGTTTCGTTGTACATACGTTCGCGGAGGGAGAAGATGTGACAAAAGAGAAAAAAGAGAAGATGATGATGAGCCGATGAGAAAATCTACCTGCGGTAAGACGGGAGGTCCCGAATGATATTTTTTCACTAGACACATCTCTCTCTCTCTCTCTCTTTCTCTCTTACATCGCTATTCGTGTTTCCGGCAATGTAACTCTAAGGAGTACCTCCGATTGTACATTATTGTAATAGGCAGAACGAGCTCGCGGTTCTTCGTGAAATCGATGCGTCGACGACGCTTTATCGAGGAATTCAGATCGTTTCTAATTCTGCAACTCTCAAGGGTCGAGGTTCCGGGCTGATGGTATGTGGATGGTCGTGGTGGTAACAATAATAGCGTGGTGGTCGCGAGAGCCGAATTATCATCATCCCGTCTCTTTCGCACGCGACAAAACTTGCAACTCGCGGCACTCCCGGAAGCAAAATACCTCGTATTCGTACGCAATGTTCTCTCACCTGCGAAGTGTGACAGAGAGTCCGACGGCGCGGAACTCTCGGTAGGCCTGCGGCGAGCCTCAGCTCGGTGGAAATTTGCGTCCGCGTGAAATGTGCGCCGAGCGAGAACGCTCTCGCGATTTGTCGTGCGTTTGTTTCCGTCTGTCGACCTCCCGAATTCTGACTACGCGGGCTCGGTGATTTGATTTCGGCGCGACGATAAAAATCGAATCGACCGTCGGTCTCTCGCGCATCTTTTGTGTCACGCGCGACGTCTCGAAGGAGGAGACGGAAGAGGAGGAAGAGGTCCGTCCGCGGGCTTCACTTGTAATCGGCTCTCGCCAGATTGATTCGCGCGCGCGCGTCCGCGGAAACGACGACGACGACGACGACGTAACGACGATCGTAGCGATTTTTGATAATAAAACACGTTCCTAATAGATCGTTCCGTCGCAAAACGATCGATCTGTTCTTCGTCGCTTACGATTGTAATGGTGAGAACGAATGAAGGGCGATACAACAGTAGTCCTGGCGCGAGAGGGCAAACCCAATGTGTGTGTATATATATGTGTGGACAATCGCTACTTGCGACGAAGTAACGAAATGGCCTCTCTCGTATAATGTAAGAAGACTAAAAAGGGGAGGGGGGGGGGCTTTTTTGCTCCGGGGAAAGGAAGGAAGAATATTCGCGATTTTCTCCGATTTAATCCGCGAGGCGTCGCGGAGAAACGGCGCGCGAGTCCCGAGAAGAGGAAACAAAAATCTCGGCGACGAGAGTCTGTCTATCGTTGTAAAATATTCACTGTCGCGAGATATCCGCGTGCGAAAGCGAAACGAACGAACGAAGGAAGGGAAGGGGAAGGGAAAGAAACGGACCGTTAGTTTCGTCGGGACGTCGATTGCGATCACCTGTCGCGGTACTCGTACCGTTAGTTTTATGGGAATACTGAATTCCACGTCTTCTTTTTAGCCGCTTTTACTCGAATCCAATTAAATTCGATTACTTTGTACCATATAAGACGAAGATGTGTACGAAAGAGTGTATCTATAATGCGTTAATTTTTAATGCGTAAGTTAAATCGCCTTCTCTCGTTGTCTGTCTCTCTCTCTCTCTCTCTCTCTCTTTCTTTCTCTCTCTATCTCGGTCTATCTTTTTATTTGTTCGATCCAGCCATCGCGAGGGTTCTCGCGACCATCGGCGAGTAGAACCGCGTTAAGTTCTCGTTTTCCACGATCAGTTGTCCCGTTCATTGCGCACGCGAATGAAAACGGGACTCGGCGCGCGGACTCTTGATTATCCGGTGGCGTAAAATATGATGACGGTCACACCAAGTGTGCACAGGTAGTCAGGGTCGCGACCATCCGACGACGAATCTCCACGTACAATATGCGTTCGGAGGAATTTGCTCAAAAACCAAAAAAGCGAACGCGGATTCTCGGGGGATGGGATTAATCGTATTTTTCATCCTGATCATTCCACATCACGGTCAACGATCTTAAAACGCGCGTGTACCTCGTGTTCTCGTTCAACGGAAGTCCTCTCGCTTGGAGCAGCGAGAGAGACGATTTTCTTCGTCTCTGTACATACAAATCAAACTCCCCAATTAACACCGCGTAATTAAAGAGTCCGCCGCGAGTCACCGAGTGTTATGAGCGTCCGTCACCGAGAAACTTATCCGTGTATAGGTACACCGTTTTATATGGAGGTGGACGACGGGCNGGCGGGGAGGGGGCAAAGGGGGGGGGGTGACTTAGAAGGAGGAAGTCGTAAGGAGAGGATGTCACTTTAGATTAGTCTGCTGTCAATATAACTAGAATGATAATTTTGAATGTAACGTGTATTATACTTGACTATCGCCTAGATAAACGAGCAACCGTACCGATTAAAAGGAAACTAGCACACGATTATATCAGACCTTAGGTATAAAATAATAAATGATGTCCGACGGACATTTTCATTTTTGAAGAACTCCTGGGTGAATTTTATTTTCGTCGTATGTGTGTGCGTATGCGTGTATGTGTGTATGTGCGCGTGTATATGTGCGTGTATTTGTGCGTGTGCATGCGTGCTTGCCTGCGTGGGCGCGTGGGGTGCGTGCGAGCCAAGAAAGAAACATAAATATGTTATTTTATACATTGATTATGGAAAGATAAAACTTTGTAGATTTCGAAAGGCCACAATAACCATTGCAAACTTATCACTTCACTTCACCAGACCCGCTGTTCGAACTCGCGCGTAACCGAGGCGATATTATTGCGAATCTTCGAGCAGGTTTCCCTCTCTGTAGGCTTTCCTATAATTTTCCAGTGTGTGTATCGTGCGACCACCTAAAAATATTTTGCTTAATATTGTTTTGCCGAAGGATAATGTTGGAGGAGAAGTCATTTGTAATTGCAGTTTCCTTTATTTACAGTGATACATTTTACGGCGGACGGGTGTCGAGAAGATGACAGAAATTCCTAAATTAATATCTTGGATCGATCGGTCTTTTCGATACCTTCAAAAACCTGCGTTTCTCGTCCCCTTTTCATTGCATCACGATCGCATTTGCGGTCGCATTTCCGAACTTATCTCGCTGCAGCGCCGAATTCGTCCAACGTGCGACGACCCGGAATCTTCGATTCTTTCGTCAAATTGAGACAACTTCGAGTTACAATTTCGAGTCCGAGCGCGTCAGAGACTTATTCTTCGAACAGTACGCGCGAGTTACTTATGCATAATCTTGTAGATTAGGAAATGTTTTCCTAACCGACCGCGCGTTTTGAACATCGCGCCCATTCAGCTGCCGTGGCCGCAGTCGTTGAGCTGCGCTGACGCCGGCGTCGCAGCCATCGTCGGCTGTCATGGCGTCGTCGCGAGTGTCGGCTCGTGTTTAGTTTCTGATGCGGAGTCGACACGATTTCGATATCCGTTGTAACCTTCTCAAGGAGGAATTCCCGGCGCGGACGTGATGTTTGGCCGAGCATCGTCCAATCATCGCTGAGAGCCGCACGTTCAAACGAAAATAAGGTAACCGTGGAGCGCGTAGAATGGGAACGAAGACTCGCGAGAACGACGAGGAAGCTCTTCTCGACGTGTGTGTGTGTGTGTATGCATGCATGCATGCATGCATGCGCGATCGCCTGTCACGAACAGCTTTTCGGTAGTTTCGGGCCGAGTAATAATCGTAGCCGCGTGAACGAGCCCGGTCGGGGGATCCATCTTCTTCGTCAGCGAGACCCTCGCGACTCGGCCGCATATGAAATCGAGCGCGAAACCGGTGTGATTTCCCGATTCAAAATCCCGATACGTGAGAGCACACAAGGATAGCCTCTGTAACAATGTAAGAGTGATTGGCGGATCGCGGTGACTGCCGTCTCGGCTCTGCACCCGAAGCCTTGGGAAAGCGGACTCGGTTGCGTCAAATATCGATGTAACCCTGATCGCGTGCGCGCTGAGAGAGAAGAGCCCGAGGCACGTGCGGTGCGACGATTTCGTTACGTGACCCTCGAGAAGTCCGGTGACGCGTAAGAGACGTTTTCTCGCTACCCTGACAGCACGAGTTCCTTAAAGACGGCCGAAAACTTCGTGCTGTCCGGGTGCGATGTACGATTGTCCCGAGACTGGGATTTCTCCCGAGCCCGAAATCGAGGAGGTTGTAAGGCTCCGTGTTGTACTTTTCACAGCGCGTTAAGGAAGCCGCTTACAAATTTAGCATTTATCGAGCGAAATTACACTCCTATAGATTGATTTTATTATGTAAATAACAAGTGTTAATTTGAAACATTCAAATTGTGGTAGATACAATATTAATTAATTGATTCCTTCGGACGATCTCAACGGTGCAAGCGAAAGATGATACGATTGTACTTTGCCGAATATACCAGACTAGAAAAAGGAAAATAGCTGATTATTCATCAGAGGCTGGAGACTCCGCGAAGATTACTTTACACCGTTATATATTCAAAGGAAAATGGTTAATAATTCTGAAATTTCGGTATAACGTCTCAATATGCAAATATCTCAACTCACGAATAGTCAATCTCTGTCCCCCCCAACTGCGAGAACAGTTAGATAATATTTCAATGTACCCGTAATGCAAGTCTCATCGAATTCTTATCAAACTTACTTCTGCCTTGCAACTGCCCTGCAACTTCCTTGATTTCATCGCCAAGAGTAATCGTAAAGTTTACGAGTACGAGTAATTTATTTGTCCGGCGAGATCGCAGGGACACTCGCTCGGCTTCCTCAGGGAAATTTTCGTTCTGGTGGGCCGGTATTGAGAAACAACGAGACGGTCGTTCGTTCTCGCTGTATCTTCATAGATTTATAATCTTCTAAAAGCGTCACACTCGATACGTATGTGTCTCCCGATAAGGCACTACTCCGCGCGCTTATCGAGCGCTATTTAATTCGTATTTGCGTCTGAAGAGGCAAGTTTAGTTCGCGAATGGATAGATCGTCCTTTTCTTGTGATCCAACGGGTGCATCTGAAGCGCGGCGGGTCTCGAGGCCGCCGGTTGACGGTACCTGCGACACCACAGTCGCATAGTCGAGAAATACAAGATTTCCATGCACGACAGAAAGCTGAAGCCCAGGAAGAGGCCCAGCAAGCCGCCCGTACTCGCTACGGTAGATGATTGACATACTAGTGATGACTTGATTCCGTAAGAACAATCGCCGCGGCGCGATCGCATACTTACACAGAAATTCGGTGAATCCGAAGAGCTCGGTTTTCACGTATTTGGTAAACTGAGAATCCACGAAGAATACGTGAATTATCGCCATGTTCTTTCTGCATCCGGAAATTGTTGGAGGACAAACAAAAGACGGTTTCAATTGAAAAGAAGAGGCAAAAAGTTACCCGCCGATTTTGGTATTTCCCAGGTAGAAAATCATGACAACGTTCAAATAACGAGAGAAAGAGAGAGAGAGAGAGAGAGAGAGAGAGAGAGCGATGAAATCATGATCGAAAAGTGAATTATCATAATAATTTCCTCATAATTTAGACGTCATCATAATTTTCTGTCCCACCTGAGACGAAGAACACCGGCAAGTGTGTAATTCGTGACAAGAGCAACGCGATAGAGTGTCCCGGGAGAAATCGATTCAAATTTTATAAGCTTGATATGTTTTTTCGAGGGTTTTAATGTGTATTTTTATACTATTTTTAAACTTTTTCCTGTTTTCTTGTCGAGAACATTTTCGACGAATATCTAAACAGACTGTTTTTGATAAGCCGACATTGAGCGAGCTTATAAGTCGAAGTGTCAGTGTAGAAATCGTCACGATAATCAAAACTACTATAACGATTCCGGGATACCTTCTATCTTGCATGACACGCGGAATCTAAAACCTGTTGCAATCTTTTATTCGCGTCAACAAATTACTCCGAGCGGTGCACTTCGTTTGCGCATTACGTAAAATTTAATTACGTGAAATACTTCTCGTTGTTCTTTATGTGCGGCTCCGGGTTGCCGGTGATCGACATCAATCTACTCTGGGAAAGTTCCGCTCTGTAATTGATCTCGAAGCAGCCCGGCCAGCAATTGCAACTCGGTCTATGATAAATGAAAGTTTGATTGCGGCCTCGTAAATAGGAAAATAATTTCGAACGACGATGATGAACTCACGATTCCGTGACGTTTAACGAATTAGCCGTGTCCTCGTCGTACAGCTTCGTCTCCATGGCTCGTCTCGCATTCTGAGCGCATTGTTCGTCCTTCTTGCCGCAGATCTGCGTGTTCGATGATTCTGCAAATAATTCTGCTGTCGATCACCGAGCGACTTTAACTTCATCAACTCTCAATGCAACTCAGAAACTCGAAGATAGCTGATGCGAAACTAATTGCCACGACAGTTAGTGAGAAAAGGAAGGTGTATCAGTTGCAATTACTTGGCATGTAATACTGGACGCAGGAGCACATCTTTTGCGTGAAGTTCGCTTCGCACTCCAGAACGCAATTCCTCTGCGTGTAAGTCCGGTAATAACGCAACTTCCTCTCGGCCGTGAAGAAACACTTCCGCTTCGCCTTCGGTATGGAGATGAGCGTCTTGCTAGCGGTCGATATTTGCGGTTTCACGATCACGCGGGTCTCCTTGCCCGGCATGATCGAGAACGAGAAATCGGCGATCTTTGGTGTCTCCACGGGATTGTGGAGCAACATCTGTAAGATCGTCAGCGTCGCGAAAAGTGAAAACTCCTTGCGCTTGTTCTGAACAATTTCACTCGGGATTATTCTGAGTAATAACCGAGTATTCGCCTTATATAGTTATGTTATCAAATAATCAAATAATATTACTAATATATTATTTATATTATTTATAACATGTTATTTTAGAGTAATATCCCGAGTCAAGATTTTAGTCCTGCATTCTTTGAGAAAAACAAATTGAGAGGACGAAAATCATTTTCCATTCATAGCATCAAAGGAGCATTAATGCTCCTTTGATGCTACAGAGGGAAATTAGATCTCGTCGGGGGAGGGGGGAGGGGGGTTAAAAATCTATATTAAATCTTCAAGTGGAAGAAGAAAAACTGAAATAACTTCCTATTTGTAGCATTAAGAGGAGCACAATAGAAGATCTTTAAAGACATAATTTAGGATTAAGCAGACTTAATGTAGAACTGAAATTTCGTCTCGGGATGTCCGAGTGCTCGGGTATAGAAATCAGCCGGTGTATGCCGACAGCGTAGAGGGTCGTAATCGCCATACCTTGAAGCCCGCGCTGGCGGTATTCGAACAATAATATTCATCCGTGTCCACGTCGAGGGCCAACGTCAAGCCGTAGTATTTCCCGGCGCCGTACGGTCTCCATGGGATGACATCCACCGAGTTACTACTGTTGTACCCGTTTTCGGCGTTCCAGTCGATGCTGGGCGACGGATACGTTATGTTCAAAGCAGGCCAATCGCGTCTGAAGCGTACGTGAATTTCGACATCAGGCGAAAATGTCGATTTAAATATCACGAACTGGACCCTCGGTCGCGCGGCGAGCGTCTGAACAATCGAAACGCGACCCCGAGTCCATACTTTGATCTTCACTCACGCGTCGTAAAAGAGAAACTGTCGGTTCACCCCGTTGAAATTGCAGCAGATCCCCTCGTCGGTCATCGTGGGGTTGAAGATATTTTTGCACTCCATCGGAATCCCGTGCCACATACAATAGTACAACATGTCCGTGCATGGTTGAGTTACCTGAAATAAGGAGAAAAGGAGGAGAGAGGGGGTGGAAGAAAGAAGATGAGAACGTTAGCCCATTAAAGCCCGTGGCTGAACCGGTAACGTTAAAGCAAGAGACAATCGTTGGAAATGGAATCGGAGCGTGAAAAGACATTTCTGACGTAAAGAGCACATTGCAAAAGTTAATTTTGCAACACATTGCTACATATTGTTTTTTATCATGAATTAAGATACAAATCTGACCTCGATTCGTCGGCTTTAATCGAATGGAACAATTTTATCTCCCTGTACACATTCTTCAATCGTCGTTTCAATTAACTCTCAATTTCGACGCGCACGATTAATCTACTGTACAACGTACATTAATCATAAACTGCAGCATCGAATCCCAGTTTATCGAGTCCTGGGTTTTGTCAAAGGTCATGTTGGTTTCCGTATCGCAGATATCGTCCAGCATTAATTTCTTCGCCAAGTCGGACCTTTGGAAAAAATCGCGATAGCAAACATCGTCCGTCTCGTGAACAGTGATAGTAACGATTCGCGTTCGTTAATGTATACTCTACCCGTTCAGGATCCGTCTTGCCTCAGTTTTCTTGGCGTGGTTCATGTTGCATATCGTTACGGCGGGAAACGGAAATTCGGCGAGGGGAACCGGCGAGGGACTCAGAGAAATAATTATCGGCGCATTGTCCCACTTCTGGTAGAGATATACGATGTAGTATATCGCCGTTACTAGCGCGCTGGTGAACGAGATTGCCCAGAATACTCTACGAAAATGCGTTTCTGATTCATAATCGATGTCGCGAAAGGGGGTACCTCTCACGATGTATCGTGGATTTTTGCGTAAACTTTACCTCTCGACGATCGACAGATTCGAATCGCCGACGTAACGCAAGCCGTGAAGGGTGCTGTTCGTGCAATATTCGTTGGTAAATCTGACGAGATCGGAGCACACTTGGTGCTTTTTCTTCTTCGACCTACACGAAAATCAATTCCGTTGGTATAATTGAAATTTCCGTTGCCTGGGAGGAAAGCTCAATTGCGGAAACCGATTTCCCCGGTCGGAAATTTTAGCCTTAAATTAAGTCTCAATATGGAGAACACGGCGATAACTTTCCACTTGTAGCATCAAAGAAATACAAAAAAAGATCTTTGAAGGATTAATGTAGGACTGAAATTTCGACTCGGATTTCTTACGCGTGGAAAAGCTGCGACAAATTAGGCTAATAAACCCGCCTTTCTTCCTTTTTTATTTTCTTAATTTTGCTTTTAATTTTTTACTTAATTTTTTTACTCCTAAGGATGCGCACTCACTGTTCGACTTTCTCGTTCTCCTCTTTATCGCTGCTCCTGTTCGCGACGGACTCCTTCTTCGTGGTGAAGTTGTTGTATCTCCATCTCAGGGAGGAATCTTGCGACCGATAGACATCCTGAATACGAAAACGCGAGAAATCAATGAAATGACAAAGAGCCGCGCGATAGATAATATTTCCGGTGTCTGATGCGCGACGTATTTCATCCGACCTCCGTCTGTGTATTCGAGTAATTTCAGCTTGACATCAAGTCTGCTTAATTCTACATTAAATTTCCACTGGGTCTTTCACTGTGCTCCTTTGACGCCGCAAATGGGAAGTTGCTTCCACCCGAAGACTTAATAAAGATTTAATGTAGAATTAAGCGGACTTAATATAGGACGAAAATTTCAAACTCGGATGACCTTACCTTCGAGTAATCATGCGTCGCGTATCCTTCCAGACGCTGGGGCGGTCTGTAGGGATTCTGCAGGTGCACCGTATTGACGAGATTATTGGTCCTCGGGTAATTAAACGGCGCCCGATCGACGGTGTTGTAATAATTCTCGCTCGCGACGTCTACGGTATCGCGTTTGCGGTTTCGCGTCGGCATCGCGTCGGCAGCCGCGTTGAAGTTCCTCAGATGCGCGAGATCGTGTGTGCCGATGTGCGACAAGATTCGCGCATCGTCCCACGGATTGAAGGTCGACTTTGTCTTCTCCAGATTCGAAATTGAATCCTCCATCTCACGGTCGTGCTCTCTCTCTCTTCCAATTCATCTCGTGTATCTTATTCTTTTCCTTATCCCGTTAGGTTTGATTTCCGCCGAGTCTATTAGAATGAATTCTCTTCAGTTAAACGTGCATTCGGAAATCATTCGGAGGAGTAACCGGTCGCTCACACTCACGTGTCCTTCTCCCAACCACGTCACAACGTCTTGAGCGTTGCAAGATACTCTTCTTATCGTAGCCGTTAGCTCACGATCCCTTTTACGTTCGCGAAGAGGAAAGAAGCATCGGATTACAGACAACAGCGTCGCGTGAGATGACGAGAGTTCCCGCCGGCGTCCTCGCCGAACCACCCCGGAGACCGCTGACTGTTGACTGGAGTGTTAACGATTGCGGGGGCACCCTTCTAACTTTGGCGATATGACGCCTCGCGCGCCCTTACGCTCGTGTGCGTGTGTGTGCGCACCCGTGATCTCACCGATAAGTGGACATTATTGTTCCAATGTTTTCACACTAACGAGATGTCGTTCGTATGCACGATCGCGAAGCGACTGACGCAAACGTGAAGAGACCTCCTCTTCGGCACGGGGTGACTCCTCCGGCTGTTTTTTTTTCTGCTCTTTCAAGTCGTGTTTACGAACCGAGCATCGATTCGAATTTTAACGACAGATACCTCGAGACGGACAGCCTGACTTTCAAGGCTGATGCGTTTTACCCGGAAGAACGTTCTCGAACGAGACTCTGTCGCTATCGCTACTATCGGTAGTAATTTCGGGCCGCAATTCCGATATTAATTCGTGGAAGTATCGCAACGGGCCGGCGACATAGCTCACTCGAAGGATATTTCTCGAAGGATATGTCTCAATAATGACTTGCTATGAATTTAATGTCTCGCCCAAAGGCTCTTATTGACGTGGGAAAAGGCCGACAAACGTCACGTGGCGGTATAATTACATTAGGCGCAAAATGACAGGAAACCGTACGTGCGATCGCGAGCTTATCGTTTACGAATATCTGTCCTTCCACTCCGTTGTGGAGTGTAAAGAGGAAAAAAAAAAGAAGAACGAGACGCGAAAGTGAAACGTTTTTTTTTTCCCCTCAATGCCAGGCGGATCCGGCGCGGGTGGCAATCCGACCACACCGCTCGAAAATTGCGCTTCGAATTGGCGTTACGCTTTCCGCGGCACGATACAGCATAAGTAAAACAAATACAACGTGTACATGCGCAAACACACACGTATATCGCATATGTACTTTTACACGCGCGGAGGTATACATTTTCGAAGAAACGAGAGACCTCAAATATAGGCATTACACGGCCATAACGTCCCGGCATTATTTGATCGGAAACGCGCGGTTTATCGAGCGCGAATCGCCCCTGTAACTGATCACGCGAAAGAACATGTTTCTCCATAATCGGTAGTTTGCACGAGAAGGGGAGAAGAAAAAGAGAGAGAGAGAGAGAGAGAAAAGGGGGTGAAAAAAGGAAACAAACCGGGCGATGCAAAAGTGTCAATGCGGCTTCGCATATCGTATTAGAGCGCGCGCGCACCGACGCTTCATTATATTTTACAAAGTTACCCGCGAAAGTGAAACACGGTAATTTATTATCACCCGTTATGCATCGATCGATCGCCGAGCGCATATATCACTGATGCAAAGCAGGATAGATCGATCGCGGACGGGCATCGCATTACTAAGGGCTGTTGTGCGTTTTGATCGCGATGTTGCTGCACGTGGGGCGGAGCGCTCTTTTTAACCGAGCTCGCGATTGCTATCCTTAAGCAAAGATGACGTTAGTTAATAAAAGTGCGCCGTGAATAACCGTATTTTACATATCTCTCTTTCTTTTTTACGAGACAACTTGGCAAAAGCATGCATTACTCTTCTATATCTGCTCTTGACTTGTAACGCTTTTAGGGATTGTTCCTAGAGTGACAATAAATGTATATCTCTCTTTTTCTCTCTTGCGTTGTTCGTGCAACGGAGTTATTATTTTGTTTTCTCTTCATTTCACGCTTCATCCTGTTCTAAGAACGAGAACAGACGATAGAGATGAATTTTTATTGTGTAACTTGAAGGCGCAATCACGCACGGGCTCCCGGGAATGCAGTAAAACCTGAGTCAGTTTGAATTACGACTCGCCACTTTGTGACACGACATTTTGCACGCCTAGTTTGCATCATTTCAAGTCTGACGACAATTAGATGTTGTCGTTAACGCAAAGTATATGAGAGAGAAAATTACGAGGCGCACTAAATCTTCTCGCGTGAAATCTCATTCTAAGTTTTCTAGTGGACATTCACTCGAAGCTATCGCCACTCGTAATCGTGAGAGTGAATGTTTCACTCAAGCTTAGAGAATTTATTTCAATCGATCGGAGCGAATTTGTTTTTATGTGGAGGTATAACACGTGAGACTCGTTCTGAAACACCAAATTAAAATGCTCGACGATTTAAAGCGGAGAATTCCATATATCTCCCATATAAATTTATTCGCACTAAAATCAGGTTTTTATAGGCCTTTCTACGTTTTTATTGAATCGTAGATCTCGAGAATCTAATATTATTCAATTTGATTTTGTAACGTGCTTCTTATGTCAGATATGTTTCTTCACGTTCCGGTCCTACTTCAAATTATTGCTTTTTGCTAACTTTATCGGTCTAGCCATGGGCTTTAATTCAGTCAATTTCATTCTCTAGACACACATAATGACATCGAACATTTTCATTTAAGTGCACATTTCTGAATATTCGTACATCATAACTGTCGTTAGAATATCATTGCTGACTAATCGTCGACTAATCAACAATCATGACGCACAAATATCGGACATAATGCACGTGATTGGAAATGTTCAACGTCACTACTCCTGAGAAATAGGCCTACATTAACCCTTTGTGTTATGAATTTTTGTATCGGGCCGATTTTTTTTTAATTTAGCACCCAGGGATTTTTCAAGTCACTGATTGCGAATCAGAATTTCAAAATTCAAAATGGCTGGTCCAATATTGCGGTCCAATAATTCGAAACTTTTTTAATAATATAGCGAAAAATCTGAAACAATTCTGAAAAATACTTCAGTGTCCTAAATAAGTGGCTAAATTGCCGTTTCAATATTGGTAATAGTTTAGCAGAAAATTCTTCCATAAAAAGCACGAATTTTGACTGTTTGTTTACAGCAATTATCTAATTAAATTTTACAATTACTGTTTTTTTTTTACTTCTTCATGTATTAAGAATTCTACGAAAACAAGAAAACCGGCACGTAAGTCGAGAAATTCGTCGAAATAATTAAAAAGTGGAACGGAAAAGGGTGGAACTCCCGCTATGCTGCAGAGGGTTGACGAGCCTTTTCTACGCATTTTCCGAACCGTAACGGTGAATGTTCGAATTCTCTGTTGGTTGTTCACTCAATGTATACTCAGCTTAATGGAACGAATTACAACACGATGATCGCCTTCCACGTTCGTCCCGCGGACGTGTTTCGTGACCGCCTCTATAATGGAACGTCTCAGCATAATTACAAGACAAATATTCGTGTTTTCCTTATCGATGTTTAACGGGAACCCACGCGAAACGCGGTCAGCTGCTCGCTCGTCCAGTCGGCGTTGTACTTTGAATAAATTGTCTTCCTTCCGAAGTNGGGGGGGGGGGGGGGGGGCAATGATACGTTTGTACAGAACAGTTTGTACAACAGCAATTTGCGCGACGGCCATCGAACCGGCAATTCATCATCGCACTTCGACTGATCAAAGTCAATTGGGCGACGTTGGAGGGTGCTTTTTTGCGGGGTTGGACGACCGGATGGACAGAGACTGCCGCTTTGTGGAAAGAGGAGACCTCTGCTAGGGCTAGAAGCACACGTCGGTTATAAAACGACTGTTCGGCTTCGGTGGAGAAAAACTCGTTGCGTCGATAATAAGGGCCGATAAGGCGAAATATGTGGAAGAGAATTATTAGTAATTACATCGGACGGACTTTGACGTAATTAAAGGTAGCGTAATTAATTTTCACAAGTATATAATGACAAGGTCGCGCCTTCCCCAGGTAATACTCTTCGTACAACATGGTAGCACTAGGTCACCGTCGTTTGCTCTTCGCCGACGATGTCATAAGCCACGATAACGATTATGCACAAATGGCGGGACTGGGAGGGAGACACGTTTTTTTAAAATACACACTGATTCTATCTAATTAATGGCGCAGAACTGCCCTTTGAATCCTTATGTTACGATAACCGTGAACCTCTGATATTTCGCGATGTCCCGTGTCCGGACGAGACGTTTGATTGATAAAATTGTGTCTTGTTTGTGGCGAATGTTGGTAAAATTGCGCCATACAAATCTGGCAAGGCACCCCGTAACTTGATGTAACGCGAATAATTAGCAGACATATTAAGGGGTAAAAAAAAAGATCCGTCTCCGTTGTGAAAACAGAGAGGCGATAAAAGAGGGGAATAAACCGAATACTTAATTGATCACTTTCGTGTGAATTTTATCTTGCTTCACAGATGTTTCGATCCTCTTTGTTGCAGGCAAAATGTTGCGAAAGACCAGAAAGCGAAAGTCGGAGGACGAAGACCAGGCGGCAGCCGATGGAACAGAGCAGGATAATAATTTCTTCTCCGACGAGATACGAGAGGAAATGGAGACAATGTGGGAGGTAATGGAGAGATCTGATCCTCTACATGATGGATCTCCAATTGTGCGAGTTTATCCCTCACGACGCCGTTTTCAGATACCGCAAATTTTCCACTTTCTCCATCTGACGAAGGAATCTCTCAATATACCTCAGTTGTCTATGTACGAAATGGAGAGGATGCTGTCGATACCGAGAGCGTCGAAGCAGTTAGCAAACATCATGACGTCTCTGTTAAGGTTGTTATACCGGTTGTACACTGAAGGTCATTGAAAATGGCCCCCCACCCACAGGTTGTTGGATGTCATAAAAGGTGAATCTCTTTGTGATTTCAGTTCTCCAATTACCAAAGCGAAGCTACGCAAGGTACCACCGATGCCATACGAATTTTGGACCAACATCCTGGCGCACAAAATAGCGAGTTGGTTCAAAGTTTATCACGCTAAGCACGAAGATGCCACCAAAGTACGTATTGGTTTACGTTACGAACCGACAAACACTTGTCACTTGCATAACGTTAAACACCCCTCGGTATCTCAGACATATTTGCAGATATCACATACACACGTACATATAGCACGCACAACAATGATTGAAAACGTGAACAAAGATTTTTAGGTTCTAGAGACTATCGGTGTCGAGCCGGAGTTTTGGAGCATCTTCCCCGACGCTTCGTTGCTCGACGGCAAAGACTTCGAGAATCTGAGCTTCAAGCAGAGAGTCTGGCTACTGAAAACCGTCTGTGATACGATCATGGTGAGTGCCCGCGGCAATTCTCCGGTAATGAGAGAGAGAAACGACTGCGTATATTGTTGTTCGTCCGACATTTTGGCAGCATACGAGGAAAACGGTGCAGGAGGACATGGCGAAGCAACCGTGGGAGGACCAATTCGAGACGGTTATGGGGGTCGACCGTTACGGGGCGAGATATATTTATTTTCCGCAATTCATCGTGAACGATCTCAGGATTTACAGGCTTTGTCTGGACAATAAAATCTTATTGACCGTCAGGGTAAGTCGTTGAAGCTTCTGATGCACGAAATGACGTCGGAAGGCGTCAACGTTACGTCCTCTGACGCCACTGTTTATTTTTACTTGGGTTACGTGTGTGCAAGTGCAAAGGTAGTGTCCCGTAGATTATTGAAATATATTTCTTACAGCCTGTCAGACCAAAGCAAGAGGCGAACTTGGAAGCGGCTAGTCCGCTTCACGCCAAGTTCAATAGATACAGAATGAGGAGAACGCAATCTAGCAATAACAGCAACAACAGCAAGAACTCGTCGGAACAAACGAATAATAGGCGCGAGAGTAGGCTCGAGGATAAAGAGTTACTTAGTTACAAGTCGTCTAACAACGACAGCGCGACGAGCTCGTTCATCAGCGAGGACACGAATCTAAGTAGCACGAGCACGTGTAGCAATAACAACAATATCAGTCTAGACGCGGTGAACAGAAAGCGTTGCAGGAGCCTGTCGAAAACGTCCGACGAGAGTACGCTGTCGAACGCGAGATCCAGCGGTTATGACACCAACACTTCCAGCGACAACAGGTCTCTCGACGACGACGACATTAAGATGTTCAAAGGCTTCTCCAACGTTCAGGGCGACAATTGTAAGATCGGGATGATCAACGAGATATTGGACGACTTGAAGTCGGAGATCGACGAGGATGTGAAGACGAACGGGTGCGAGAGCGACACCAGGAGCAGCGGTTTGACGTCGCAAGAGGACTTCGAAGGCTTGTGCAAAAAGGCGACGGGCGTTGAAGCAATGTTGACTGTTAAGAAAGACGAGAATGAACGCTCGATTGACACTGTGAGTGGCGGCACTTCCAAGACGGACGATGAGAAGCTGAACGACATGATCAGTGCCGAGAGTTCCAAGTTACCCGCCGGCGTATGTTCCAAACGTGTCTCAGCCGGTGATAATATATCAACGTCGTCCAAGTCGGACGACGAGAAGCTGAGTGAAACGAAAACCAACAATGGCAATATTAGCGATAATTGTAAGAGGAACGGTATAAGTAAAGGTAGAACTTTTAACGGGTCGCTACGCGAATCCTTTAGCAATAACGCGTCGTTGAGTGGAAAAGTGGCTAAGCGTAGAAGCGGAGCGAACATTTCCTCGACGAGCAAGGTAAAGTCGAACGATTCGAGCCGGGAGAGGAGTCCGCCCAAGAGACAGCTGAGGTCGTCTCGACACCGAGCGGCGCAGCATGACGCGAAAGACAAAGCCGAAGAGGTGAAGAAGAGGGAAGAAGGCGAAGGTGAGGCGGAGAAGAAGGAGGAGAAGAAACGGACGGAGTCGATAGACGATGCGGACGAAAATTCGTCCGCAGTCCGTGCGCGGTTAGAAGAGGCCATGAATGACGGTGATTCGGACGATGATTACGCGAATTCGGAGAATGGTATTAACGGTTACAATTTGCGAAGATCCAGGAGCCTGAAGACGAACGAGTGCAAAGAACACTTCAACAAACTGCTCTCGGATCTCGGCGTTTGCGATTTTCAATTAGTGGCCGACAGCGTAGAAGGACTGAGGGATCTTATTGCTAATTTCATGGAGCCCGATTTGAAGAACACTTCCACCGATACCGTAAGTTCGGTGTCGTTGAGGCTCCTGTTTCCTCGCCCGCAGCCATCTTGATTAATAACGTCGGAAGCGGGAAAAGCGAAAATTTTTATAAAATACACTGAAGTTAAAATTGTTGTGCCTATAAAGTGATGCTTGTGATCGATTATTAAGCGCATGTGTAAAATTTCCCGAAGAAACGTTTGCTTTAACACTCGATAAAGATAGCCTGCATGTTATGCGAATTTTAGTTATTGTTTAGTTTTTATTAATTGTTAAGGCAAAAGTACTTACAAGAGAAAGTATCAAAAGCGATTTTCCTTTAGCTGTGAGAACCAGTAAATATTCGTAGAATTAATTTGAAAAGATCATGAGAAAAGGTGGGCTGAAAAAGGAAGATCGCTTGCTATGTGAAATTTACGGTTATTTATTGATTTTTTTTTTTAGAATAAGAGGAAAGTTTTTTACAAATGTGTCCAGCCAGTGTCGCAAGTGTCACTTTATGGACATACCTTTTTATCTCGGCGTATTTCGCGAGAATCTTGTGGACACACGCGTTTTCTCGCTTCTAACGTCCTCAAACAAGCCGACTGCGAAGCGAGGAACCGAGAGAGCCTTGACAATTTCACCGGATACTCTCCGATTTGCCCGCTACAAAGATCCCGCGTGTTTACAGGCCGATATTATTCCTCTGTGCGAAATCAAGTTGGTGAAGAAACTGACCGAGTTGCTGGCTTCCCTGGAAGGCATGGAGGCCACCTTAAAGGATGCCGCGCGAAAAGCGAAGTCGAAGTTGCAGAGGGAATGGTCTAATTTTAAGGAAGGGTACGTATATCCCCACACGTCTCTTCCAAATCTTTCATCACGACATGCTGGATAATCGGCTGTTATTATTCGGCATTCGGTGTTGTATCCTCGCATTAAAAACCGGGCCTTAGAAAGATAAGGTTGCAAATATCAAGAGAAACCGTATGCATCACCTCATGGTTATCCACTCGTCATTAACTAACGCATCGCTATGCGAAATCGAAACGTTGATACGTGTTGTGCCTGCTTCGCGCACTTTCTTGGCCCACGCATCCTCACTCGTTCATGGAGAACAAAATCTCCGCCTGAACGCCTCTCGAAATGCTACAATCCTCGTGTGTGACTTTTCATGTGGGCCCAGGCCCACATTGTACCAGTAACATTAATCCCTGTGTCGAGCATGTATGGCAGACAAGCTGGTGTGTGTTGTAGCAATGTGGAGGATCAGGATTCATCCGGTGAGGGTGGTCTCAGCTCTAATTGGTGGGTTCTTGGATCGCAGGGCTGTCCACTGTCAGCTCCCGGAGACGCAACGTTACAAACGTTACCGCAGCCTGCCCTATCCCCACTTGGCTCCCAAAGCCAACAGCCGCGACTCGAAAGCAGCGAGCACGAGAGCGCGGGCAAGAAGCAGGGCCGCCGCGAGAGCCAGGAGAGCGACGGCAGCGAACGACAGCGAAACGACGGCGAGAAAGCGGAAGTCCTCGAGGTCGAGGGGAGAGAGCAAGAGGCCGGAGGAAAGGAACAGGAGCGAGAACGCAAGCGGGAACGTAAATGCAAAGAGAACGAGATCGCGTCTAATGACGAAGGTAACTTGCTTTTCTCGCTCTCACCTCGCCGTCCTTCTCCTTCGAGGAGAATCTTTTTCCCGGAACGCCGGATAAATATAACACCGTCTCTTTCTCTCCTTCTCGGCGCAGTTCGTCCAAAACAGTTTCGACCAAGTTCGGAGCACGCTCGACGCTCCAATGAGAGAACTTATTCTCTCTGAGGCTGCGTCCGTAAACTGTTTCGTTTCTCACCGTACCCGCGCTTTAATCCACTATCCTTTAATTTCGACTCAAAAGACGTGTGTACGTACACGCAAAATGTTGAGACCAACGTTGAACCAGGGTTCTAGATTCTTCGAGAGCGCCTGGTATTCGCGAGAGATATTCCTTCTCAAGATGTAAAACGAATATCCATAGAAAAGTACAGAGAAAAAACCGCGTTGTCTGTTTGTGCCCATGACAGATTCGGAACAACAGACGCGACGAGTGCTACGAGCACGCGGCGTCTCCTCGTACACCGAGCAATTTTACTCAGACGATGAAAGCGACCAGAACGAGCTGGAGGAATGGACCGACGTTGAGGCAGTCTACGCGGCTCCCGGCGCACCGGCCGATACATCCGCTCCTCACGCTGCTCCGAAAGTCCGACACACTGACAACTGGTCGGATACGGAGGACTCAGACCAAGATTGGCTTCTACCGGGCACTCGCAAAAGGAAAAATAAACGTCCGTGTGAGTGCCGTCGCCCCGAAAGATTTCCATGCAGAATACTTAGGCTGCTGTCAGGTACACTTGCACAGGTAGAACCGTGTCATATTCCGGGAAGGCGGGAAGAAGCGATGCGTGCACACAGGGCGTTAAGAAAGTAGGGGAAATTTCGTTCTAAAATTCGGAATTTCAAACATTTTCTACGTGCTAGCTATACGACTTTTGTATCGAAAGCACATTCGAAGCGTGACTTTGTAATCTGTACAACTTCAATTCAATTTCAATTTAGACAGCATCGTTCGTAGCACCACTGTTCGCTCTGTGACACGTCAATTTCGCGACCATATTCAGCCTAGTTATCCTACATGGAAGCCTGCGTCCTTCGTGGAGGAAAAGTCGACCGATAAGAAGCCCGACTCTAATTTCTAATTCGCACACCCGTTTCAGCTGCCAATCGAAGGTTAAAGTCGTTTCAACACAAGCTGCAGAACATCCGGGAGAATACACTGCAGAGCGGTATGGCGTCCGGCGCGCCCAGTCCCGCGAGGACCGGCAAGGATAAGCCCCGAGAGACGAAGGACGGTGACAAAGAGCCCAGGACGCAAACCCCGACCGATTCCGCGCGCAACTCGAACGGCCGCGAGCGTTGTATCGCGGCGACGCCCGCGGATCCCAAGCAAGCGGTGCCTTCCACGAACGCGATCTGCAAGATCGAGACGGTCGGTAGCGTGCATTCCGAGCTGGACATCAAAGACGAAGGGCCGATTTACGAGCCCGGCGGGGCTCAGTACGTCGAGAACAACTACGGTGCGCAGCAGAGCTACGCGGTGAAGACGAGCGGAGCCGGTTCGAGGCCCGTCAACTACTACATGATACCGCAGAACGTCGGCGTGCCGAACATGCCGGTGATCACCCAGCAGAACTACTACGTGCAGAAAACGCCGAATTACATAATCCGCAGGGATCCGCAGGTGAACTTCATGCCGTCGTCGACTCAGCAGCAGTCGCAGCCAACCGTGGTCTACCAGCAACGGGCGATATTGGCCCAACCAACGTTCGTGAACAACGTCACTTACGCGCCGTACGCGACGCAATCCCAGTACACGATGATCGCCGCCAAGCCTCCGATGACGAACCAGCAGCCGAGGCCGCAGAACCGACCGGCCGGTCAGCAAAACAGGCACATCATGCTGCGACCGCCTAACGTCATCATCAGGAACAACGCCGTCAACTGTCCGCGGCCCGCCGGCAACCCGAAATCTGTAAGAGGCAATGTGCAACGTACGGGCAACCCGAACGCGGTGCAGAGGCGCCGGCAAGCGCCGCAGACCTCCACGGACGGTAAAGGTCAGAAGACCACGTCCTTGATCGTGCTGAGCGACAGCGACGACGAGATCGAGATGATCATCACGGAGAAGAGCAACGCCGGCAAAGGCCCGGACAGGAGCAAAGCCTCGGCATCTTCGAGGAGCGCGGACTCGGCGAAGCAGAAGCCCACCATCACCTCGGACACCCTGATCCCGTCGGCGAAGGGCCTGATACCGCCGCAGATCCTCGAGCGAATGAACCAAGGCGGCATCTCCATCACTCCGGTGAAGAGCCCCGCTCCGCAGACCGCTCCGAACGCGAACACACAGCTGGTGGTGGTCGTGAACGAAACCGGGAGTCACTACGCGTTAGCGCTGCCGAACGGCAGCAAGCTCATACTCACGCCGGAGCAGGTGGCGCAGATCAGGGCGTCGAACGGCGGCAAACTCATCTTGTAAAAGTGCGCGTCTATGTGTGTGTGTGTGTGAATACAAACGGTATTCGTAGTCGGATCTTGTATTCGGGATCGTCTCATCCCCACCTGCTGCACGAGGCATTCGATGATGAAATCTTGAGGCGATCTTTGTTAAGGGAAATTTGCGAAGTCCCGACCGTATTTCCGCGAGAATATTGTCTCCTCGCTTCCAAATCGACGACGACCGCGGCGGCGGAGCCTTGAATATAAGATCGGACTATGAATACACTGCCTCCGACTCGTTTCCTAATCCGTCGCGAACCAGGATGATTTGCGACTGCTAAGCAAATGTGATACGCGACGGGTCGGTAAGGTAAATGTCGCCGATCGCCGGACATGTGACCTCCCCCCCGTATCCGGACGAGAACTTCTCACTGTTGAAAATCTCCAATTATTCAAGGTTTGCTTCTATCATTGTGTTCAGCATGTCAACTCGATCACATGTGTATCTGCTTCATGCGTATTACGATTTATGTATGCAGCACGTTATGACAGAATTGCACGAGCTCACGTTACTAAAACGCGACAGCTGTACGCATCAGTCTCGATTATAGAGAAAAGTTATATATTTCATCCTAAATATATCATTTATAAAGTGTATATAAAGAAATGTCACGATCATCGCGGAATCTTTATGAATAGGTCACGCATCATTCTCATCGATCGCAATCGTTTTAGCCGCATAATAACTCTGTCCGGATATTGGGTCGGGGAAGTCGAACAATCGGGGGTCAAACAATTGATCGGGTATTAATTCGCTCGTATTAAAATTTGTATTCCTTTTTGAACAACTTAATAAGCACGCGTATATCTTTCGATGTGTTGTGTATAATTCGAAATTTGTACACTTCATCTGTCAATGAAGTATATGATTAGATTATCTGTGATTAGATATATTTTATAGCGTGTATCATAAAAATCGCACAATCTCGGCCCTGCGTTGTTGAATTTGTCCTGCTGTTAGGACGTTTACCTTAACTTTTTATTTGTTCTTTTTTTTCTCTCTCTCTCTCCTTCCATACATTGTGAATTTAGTCACTAGTTAGGCGGTAAGAACCGGAAAAACAGAACTGACGTTGCAGAATTGTTCGGAGAGAAAGTTAACTTAAAGATCCTAAATGGAATATGTATTTATGTGAGGCAGGCAGTTTTAGCGCGATGCAAGTGAAATTTCCCGTTATTCTGATGTACAATCCCAAGGTATTGTTTCTTCTGGTTAAGTTCCCGCGGTGTACAGTTCACGTGATACTATTAAGTATAGTATACGGCGTTGCGAAGCGCGAATTAACGAGCTCCCATGAATCGTAGAAACTCATATTAATTTCTTCGTACCTCTGCGTTTGGAGAATTCCACTGAGAATACTAAAGAATTGTAATAATTAATATATATCCGATTGTTAGAGTAAGACATGTGAAATAAGATCTTCGTCATCGGCAAATTCGCCGCATTACCGCCGTCACGTAAGATTTATCGCAAATCGCGCTCGCGACGTTTGTAAAAAATGTGTACAGGAAATCCGTTTGGCTTGCAATACGGCGAAAAGAAATCGAATGAACTGTGTTCAGCACACACACAATTCGCAACCGACACTAATTTTGTAAGACGACGACAGACGCTCACGAAAAGATATATATATATATATATATATCATTAGTTATGTCTCATATATTTATAGCGAACCAAATTATTGAAATTTCACGAAAAAAATGTCAGGTAGACTGTCCGGCCTCTGCCGGACGATAAAAAAGACAAAAAGTATTAATTAGCGCGCGTTTCTTAGAGAAAAAATTATAGTGCATAATTGAATGACTAATTTTTACATGTAGTTCGTAAGGCCGTTATTCGCAGTAACGATAAGCGCACCGGGTTGACAAATTATAAGGCGGCCTCTCGGCTCGAGACGAATCTCGATTGAGATTTCAACTCGTCCAGTGTATCTGACACACACACACACACACACACATCTTCGACTAAATACCGCAACGTAAATTATATTGTAACCCGCTCCAACATCGGGGAACTATTCTTGAGGATGTCATCCTATAATAAATGTATTAATATATTGATCTGCACGAATTACACACATTCTTTAGTCACGCATATTAACGCTGGATATTTATTGATTTCAGGTAACTCAGCGTGTATATACGAGGGATATATGTATATCCGTAAATATATTACTCTCTTTGTTCCGCCTATATAAGTGTACAAGTTACGAACAAACGAAAGGGATAACCGCATGACCTATGTTACACGAAGAAAATCTCGCACTGTACGACGGGAATCACGTTCGTCCACTTGCGTTAAACCGAACGTTAGGAACGTTAGGTGGTTTGAGGCAAGCATCGCGAGAATAAGCGGTGAAAATAAATAGAAGCGATCATTATGTGGGACCCGCCCGCACGATCGACCGCTATATAAATATATAAATTGACTCTCTCTCCCTCTCTCTCTCTCTCTCTCTCTCTCTCTCATTAACACTTCGTCGACAAGGGTTGATTTCCGTTGATATGACTAATCGTTCGTTGCCCGGGAACCAGGCAAGAACTCGATTGCAGGAACAGAAAGATACTTTTAGGAGGTTCCTGCTCGGTCAATCGTCTCTCTCAGTTGTCTCGTTTGAGTTTCTCAACGCAACTGAACGTTCACACACGTTAAGTGTTCTCAGTCGCGGTGAACAGAGACGTCCTTTCTCGCCGTCGAGTTTTCATCCGGTCCTCATTTATCCGCAGGAACTGAGACATCTTTTTCCGCGTAAGAGAAAGAGAGAGAGAGAGAGAGAGAAAACGCGCTTCACTGGCGACGTTGCGAAGTCCGTGTAAAGCGCAGCGTTCCACCTCAGGTGGAAGAGAGAACGACAAAAAATGTCTGCAAGACTGATTTTTTTCATCATCTCGACGTCATTTCCGCGTCATCGTAATTTCCTGCTCTACCTGGGGGCGCCGTTGTGCCGTCGGAGAAGTGTTAATTACTGGATTGCAGGAACTGTCCGACCGATACTCGTCGTCGTATCGAACGTGCTGAGGCTGAGGTTCAAAAGCGTGCGAACACTCTGGGCGACTACAAATCGCAACACAGGCGTCGTCTCTCCGTCTCGCGGCCTTGGAATCGTACAGCCGCTTTCTCTCTCTCTCTCTCTCTCTTATTCCTTACACCTGATTCTTCCGCGCGTACGGTAAGTCTTTGTCGAAGGCCAAGAACTTGGACAGGCGTGTCCCGTTATAAGGCGTGTCGCTTCCCGGCGGATGAAGTCTCATCTAAAACAAAGGCCGACGTCAGACGGCGAGAGAGAGGGATAATTGATCCGCGCGATATAATTAACACCTTCCTCCCGCGCGCCACGCGAGACACGCGCGCGTTCGATTCGCTTATCCGCGCTCGGATGTTTAATATTACTGAGGAGAGAAGACTGTGTACGTACCGTCGCCACAAGATTTGCCTTCCCCCGCATTTTTCTCGTCAATATCTTGACAATAAGCGACGACGAAGAGAAATCATATAACGAGCAATATCTATTTATTCTGCAATGGTTGTTTATTTATGCGTGAATATATGTATATATATGTGCGCAGCGACATAAGAGAGAAGGGGGAGTTTTCGTGTATAAATAAGGAAACCGGTACGCACATGATTATCTCACATTATCTGAGCGGAACTCGAAGGTCGAGTCGGAGGTGGAACGGAGAGAGAACCCGCACGATGACGTCAAGAAATTAATGACGAGAAAACGACTTATAAAGACTCACTTTCCAATCACTTCACGTCATCGTTATTTTCCGCTCCGCACCAGCGGATTAGCCGGGTTCGAAGTTCGAAGATCGAATCACCACCCGAGTGAAATTTCCAGTTGCTTCGTCGCTGCTTGAAATTACTTCGATTACATGCAAATTATCACACCTCGTCGATTGGACTACCACACGTCGATTCCTTCGCCGTGATGCGCGCGGCTAATCATCCGTAACCGTTGGGGAAACGCGAATGCTAATGAATGATCGATCGGATGAATTGCTAACGGTGCGGCGCACTGGCATAGCTAATGCATTAGCTGGAGATCCGCGTACATGAAAGCAGCAATACTCTCCGAGAGAAGCTCCGTCGAAAGGGTTAATCAATCAATTACCCAGCTCCGTTGCGGTTAGTTTTATTAATAACGTTATAAAAATAAGTCCCCCTCAACAAAGCTCAAAAAATATGGAGCACCTCCGCTCGTCGTTCCTCGTCGGATCTCGTGTGTCCTCGGGTAAACTTCACAGAGAGATTCCCGCGAGAAAGAAAGAGAGAGAGATATTTATACGGAGGGTACATGTGTATTCGATCCTGTTTTTTCACAAGTGTCCTGTTCGGTGTGTTTGTTAATTCATTTCCTTCATTACCCACTTCCTCACTTTTCACGAGTATTCGACGAAGCGACAGACAGCGCGAGACGTCCTGGCCTCCTCCTGGATGTCCTCGGGATGTCCTGCGACACCTCTCTCAGGACATCCCGGACATGTTCGGGATAACGATTCTGGGACGTCCTGCGCCATCCGGTCCGATTAGCGTTGCTGGACGACGCTCTCCCGCGATTTCAGCGTAAACGATACTATCGATCGCGATGGTGATGGTGCGAGAAAATGGATAATGAGCGTTGACATTTAGGCGATGACTACTACCGTTATCTACTACGTCGCCGCCGTACTACTAAGTATTATTATATTTTTGTGAGTATCGAGCTCTCCCCTCGACGACGCAGCTCCGAGGATTAGTATGTGGTTGCGGCTTGGATTTTATTTGGATTTTATATGGTATTGCGTGTGCGTGGATTGGACCGTGCCAGCCTCTCCCGTGCGCCCCCGTTCTACTTCTCGACGTAGTCGTTGTCAACGGCTTTCGCATCCCCGTCCGGGCTACTGAATCGTTTCTGCAACGAGAAAGAAAACCGACACCAATCCGTTACAACACGCAGCGCTCTCGATCTGTTACGATGAGGAGAGGATGGCGGTGAGTCGGGTGCATTCTTTTTCTTTCTTTTTTTTTTTCTTTCGCCTTCCGTCTTTCAAGCTAGAACGGCGTTAGCTCTCTCGTTTTCGCAAGCTCGTAGCGTTTCACCTGGGCGAATATTATTAGCATAGTAGGCACCTGGCTTGGCCGAGAATGAATTTCAGCGACACGCAACCCGTACAGCACGCTTTATCCGACACGGACGCGTCCGGTGGACGTCCTTAGGACATGAGACGTCCTCCGGATGTCCCTGGGACGTCCCTCGGAGGTCTGTGCTGTATGGGAAGGAACGGTGGCTTTCCCCGTAGGCGTTTCCGTCGTGAACGAATTGCTCGCAGCATCGTGGGCGCGAGTGACTCTATCTCGATTGTTCGCGAGTCCGCTAATTTCACTCCGAGCTAACCAGCGAGCGAGCAAAACTCCCACCAACACGGAGCTGTCACTCACCATGATCCTGTACTTCTCCTTGCAGGCGTACTCGGTCTCGTCCACGTCGTTGTAGCAGTCGCTCTTGTAATCCTCAGGTATCGGCCGACCCTCGAACTGGCAGAGCCTGGACAACGGCCGCGCCTTGACTAGCATCTTCTCGAAACCGATCGGCTTGTGTTGCGGACAGTAAAACACGTCCGGGGTGTTCTTGTCGAAGACGATGCTCTTGCGCAGGATGTCGCCGCATTGCACCTCGACGAGGAGCATCTAATGCAGATAGAAAGAAGTGGCTGAGGGTGGTGTATCCGTCGGGGGGAGGAAGTCGTTTTCCCTCGGCAATTATCGCGATACTTGTGCACGCAACAATTATAATTACACCAAATAACACTACTCACGACGCGGTAGATGCCCAATTTTAATTTAATGTGTTAATAAAAATTTAACAGGTATAATTTCATGTATATTATAATTATGTATTTAATGATTATATATTCTATTCAACGGAAATATGTAATTATAATATTAGAGTAATTAATGTAACGTTTAATTACGTTTGAAACGCGTAATTATAATTTAACGAGGCAATTATATCTAATGAACCGGTCGTTTTGTTGAGCTTAAAGCGCGCGAGCGCGACTCATTTCGACAGCCGAAATTCACGCGTTCCGCGCGCGGTCTCGGCCAAACTCGGTCGGCGCGTATTTCGGCTTTCCCGCTTGGAACATCGCGCGCGGCGAAAACGATCGGCTTCCGGCAGGTGGAAACGTAAGAAGAAAAATTGCACGCACGGAATGAAAGTGCGAGATCACTTACGGCGAGTACGACGAGCAGGCGGCTGCAGACGTAAATGTTCCCTGCAAAAAAAAGAAAACAGACAGTGCGAAAAGCGTGAGTCAGCGCTGAAAAGTCGCGCAACGTCGGTGCGCTGTAAGGAGAAGAAAAAAAAAAAGAGAGGAGAGAAAAAAATAGAGAAAGGATCCGGAATAGCGCCGGCGGCGATCGATCTTGCGCAAATGAAACTCGCAATTCTGTCATTAGTAGAGGCAAGGATACGCCGAGGACGAGGGAACGCGCGGTGTCCGAGGTAACAATTCCCGATAACCTTCGCACGAATATTCATTTTCATCTTCATCTTGCACTCCAAATCTCTTGGAACGAGATAATAAAAATATCGCCACTCGGGATCGCAAGAGTGGGCTCAGAGAGGCAGCACAGTTAGTTTCACACACGTTCTTTAAACGTGTATGTAAATGTACGATTATGAAACATTACATATATTTAAAGAACGTATATGAAACTCGAACATCTGCAACCTGGGGAATGTTTAAAACTCGAACTCGAAGTGGAATCTTTAGGATGGATCGCCCATCAGTGCCGTGTTTTCAGTGGCGCGTCAAGGGAGCCGCTCATGAGTTTAGTATTCATCAAACGAAATTACGTCCTGCACATTTCTCATTACTTAAATAATAAATGTTAATTTGAAACGGAGTGGAGGTAGACATGTATACGCAATATTATATAAGATTTATATAATTAGTATAACTAGATTGCCATTTCGCTTTTCGAGTGAAATTTCGAATTCGAAGAATTTAGAAAGCGCAAGAGAGTATTCTCATCTTTAAATCATATTGTTATCGTTATATAAAAATGTTTTCACGAACGAATTCTCGTGAATTTAACCTTTCGATACTTCATTACGCACATGCATAAATTTACGTGTCTGATATGTCTATTATAGCACGTATTTTATAGCACTGTTTAAATATGCGAATCGAGCGATTCGCGTTCTCTCGTCGTTCGAATCCTCATAATTTATGCAGCTACCGATTCCCTCCGTGTTTGCAATCGTCGCGAAGGAGGGGAGAAAGGGAAAAGGAGAAAAGAAAGAAAAAACCAGCTTCCAGGCAGCCGTTAATCAAGCGACACCGAGATCGGGATTTTAGATAATTACGTTACTCGCAACGTAATTGCGATTACGTTCGCCGATAAAACTGTGTATACGCGCTCCTCTTCTCCCTGCCTTCCTTTTTATCTCCGTTCCCGCGAATCAATCAGCATACACAGTGAGTTTTCCTCGCTTTTCTAGGTCAGCGTTCACCACCGAGCGCATCACACGCGTACTTTTTTTCACGGCCAGCGGACACTCACGAAGCGTTACGAGAGTTTCTCCCGCTTCCACGCTAACCCGAAATTAATTCGCAACGGTGTTTCGGGTTTTCGATATCGGCGCGACCCGACTTTCCCCGTCATTTACGCAATGTCATGCATACAACATGCGCCTGGCCGTTGGTCCGTGCATTGGAGCGAATTCACGTCGTCCGCATGCGTCGTCGCACGCAAACGCGAGAACTCTCGCGTGCGACGACGCGTATTTTTCCCCTCACGCATTTTTCTTTTTTTTCGCCGCGACTCGCGCGCGATTTTCCCTTCCTGCTGGAAAGATCACGAAGTCGCCTCCATAAATTCCCGGCGAGCGCGCGAGGGAAGGAGTATCACGCCGGTAATAGTTCAGACAGACACACACACACACAAGCACGCACGCTTGCACAACGTGCAACTGCACTCTGGATGCGTTCGAACGTGACATTTTCATCGCGGGATTACCCATGGCATTTCGAGCAGCATCGGATCAATTATTCGCGACCGGTGCTCGCTACAAATTCAATCCCAAAGACAAAGACCAGAGGTCACGTCTAAAAAGAAGAGAACTATAAAAAAGAGAAATGAAATACCCAACAGGGAAAATATTCCCGAAACAATTTTCACGTCTAAAAGAGAGAGCGCTCCCGACGTCGCCGGGAAACCGATCGTCGAGATCGCTCGATCGTGACGAGACGCACGCATGTCCGAAAAAGGACCCAGGGACCCGTCTTGAGACCCGCTCTCTTTACCTGAACTAGTCCTGGAACTTTGCGCCTGCTCTCTTCAACACTAAGTTGTACACACTGAAAGAAGGACGCCTGGTTTCGCTGGCAATTACCAAGATTTGATCCAACGGTTTCAATCTTTGTCTGGTTACTGCAATCAAATCATTTAGTACTGTATATTATATATAGTATATGTATTACAGCATAGTGTATGTACCGAGTGACTTGGTTGCAGTGACCGAACAATTTAGTCGAAGCCGTTCGGACAGATCTCGTTTGCAATTGTTACGAAACTTTTCATTCGGTACGCCTGCTTCATTCCAAGTGCAAAACGAGCGACCTAGTTCAGTAGAAAAAGAACGGACTCTCCGGATACACAGGCTAGTTTTGGACGCTGAGGCGCGTCATTCTATCTTTCCTGCCGATTGCATGCCGAAGAAAGACAGAACGATGCTTTCAGCACGAAAGCGTCCAAAACGCACTCGATTATGCCCTTCTGATTCTCAGGCTGGAGTGACATTAACACGTTGCTCATGCAAGGAGAACGGAACGCGGAGTCGGACGGCCGCGGCCAGAATAAGGGCCCAGGGGATCGTCGCCGACCCGTGACGGGTGGACAGGTGAGAGACTCCGGCGCGAGGTCGCCCGATACGGGGCGCGATTTTGTTAGCCGATTATCCGACTCGCGCGTTGGAGATCGCGTAACTGTCAAAAACGGGCCTGATGAGTCAGCCTGACGGCCAGCTAAGCTCGACTTACCCATGCTGCTCGGGAGTTCGCACCTGTTGATCCTCGCGACACGGCGTCCCCTCGTCGACTGAGTCGCCGCCGCGTCCTTCCCGCGAGGTCCGCCCGTTAGATGGGACAGGCAGTGGCGGAGGCAGCCTTTTTCCCTCTAAGTCGCGTCTATCCGGCGTAGAGGCATAACTGGAAATGAGAAAGGACGGGGAAAGCACGGGGAAATACAATTCCGTCGGTGTAACTGAATTTCCCCCCGTTTTTCCCGGGGACCAGATGAAAATTCAGTTGCAAGATTCTCGCAGGCTTCTGATCACTCTGGTCACAGTAAATCGCATTAAAACTCGATCGAGACAACTGAGAAAAATTGGCCGAGCGGAAACCTCCCGTGGAAATCTCTCTATTTATACAACCGAATTTTCCTTCGGTTTCCAGGCGACGTGAAAAAATTCAGCTACGCTGACGGGTTTATTTCTTTCCTGGATACTCGTCATAATTAAAACACATGGGGGATTCGAAATGTGATATCGATTGAACGTGGTCACTTGAAGCGAAATTTCTCTATAAGATAAAGACGCGGATAATAATACCGTTTTCCGACCAAGATCGCATCCTTGAGAGTGTCTTGATCTGCCATTGGATACAGGATGTCTCAGATGTGGAAATCCGTACGTTTCACGTACGACCGACGGCTGCGCCAAAGTTCTTTCCTTTTATAGAAGTAGATATAAACCGCTGCGCGTCATCCTCGCGGATCGAGCCGATGAAATAATTGAGGGGCCGGAGTGGAGGAAGGCGTGCACGTTGGAGGAAATAGCTCGTATTTAAAACAACTCGGAATTATTCGTAGAAATTCGAAGCCACGGCTTCTCGGTGTATGGAACAAACGCTTATCTACTTCGAAATCCTTATTTCTCCAACATGTAAAATACCGTTCTCACTCTCAGCACACTTCGAGCGAGCGCTCTCTCATTCGATCAAACGTCGTGAATGCAGCAATATTCAAACGAATTTTCGGTAAGCGGAGAACTGAGAGGTAGGCGGGTTATGTGGGCAGGCAACCTCGTCTTTCCCTTATTGGGTCGGTTACATTGTCATCACTGCTCTTAGCACACGGAGGTGCCAAGGATCGAAAACTGTTCTTCTTCAAAAAAAAAAACTCATTGCATATATTTCATTGCACACATGTGTATGTACGTGTATATATACACGTGGTAGAAGCAAAAGTTGCATGGTATAAAGTCTATTTTTCTACGAAGTTTCTTTTTTTTCGTAAATACAACGATCAGAAAACTATACTTCGAGCGACCAAGCGGATAACAAATCTATCATCCTCGATTAATCTCAAGCAAGATTTTACTTTAACAGATTTTTAATTCACGATTTAGCTGTAAAAATATGTTATGTCGAAAGTCGCCATAAATAATGACTTCTTTTCGACAAAATGGCTCGGGACTCCTCGATTCAATTTTTCACATACCGCTGTTTAAATAATATTGTGTAAGTAGTGGGCGTTAATTCACAAATACCCTGTAGATATCGCTTATTAACGGACAAAAATCTGATTTGATTTCGTGTAAATTTTCCAATGATAGTGTGATCGCCGCCAGCAGCTTCTTAAATATCAGCCTGTAACGATATTTAGATTTTTACAGATATCTACTGTATACTCTCGAAAAGATAATCAGATAATGCTTATGCAGAACGAATTTGCGCACTTACAATCTCTTCAAAATCGAAATCGCACACATCATCAGGTAAAGAGGCCTTATCTCCCGATACGCCGTTATTATCTTTCCTGGTATCTGTCTCTTGCTCTTTGCTTGACTGCGCCACGTCGTCCGCGTGCGTGTCGTCTTGATTAAGCGTCGCATCGTCCTCACCCAATTTCCTGCGTCTGAAAACGCTCGTTTGCAATACACACTTGCATCGAGTCCAATCTCAAAATTGCAATTTTATCTAAAAAAAAATCCTCACCTCCTGGATTTTAGAGGTATCTTCTTCTCCAAGTTGAACAAATCCTTGATTCTGTCAGCCGCTGGCTTGCATTCCTCCCTCACGGACTCGGGTTGCTCCAACAGATCCTTCACATCCTCGGCAATGGGCGGCAGCGGCTGATCCGGATGTAGCGCGCGAGCTGACAGCATATCCCACATATGTTGCGCGCCAGGATCCGGCATACATCCTGGCAAATATCTGTCGCCATCAACGAACGAGTTTTCGTCGGCGCTAAAAGCAGGCGACGAAGGACATCGAAATATGGTCGTTACTTTGTAATTCCCCGAGAATTCTTCTTACCCTTCGGGCAATTCCAAAGACGCCAGCAAGTCGTCCACAGCGTCGCTCTGCTCCTCTGACAGTTGCTTCATCAAGAATTTCAACGGTCGCTGCGCTATCGCTCTGTAATCCCGCTCGAATGGTAAACCGATTTCAACTAGGCACTGTCGAAAACCGCCGTTAATACTATTATTTACGTTATACCGATCAATAATAGCGAGATAGGAAGTAATAAACGGAATATCCTTACCCAAGGCTCATTTGGATCGTCGACACTCGGAAATAGCGCTACCATGTTAGCTTCGCTGTTCTTCCTGAAGATCTTCTCCACTATAGCGACCACGTTCTTCTCCACCATGGCTTGCACCAAACTATAGAATGGTGGGCTCACCAACTGCGAAGAATCTCCAATTTATCTTTATCTTACGTCGTTGAACTTCACCTTGAGGATAATTTCGTTATCGTACCTCGTGAGCAGGGACGATGACGTATGTGCCGTCTGACAACCAGTACTCCATAGGCACATTTTCCCTTGCGGTGAAACCGTGTATCTTGTAACATTTCTCTGTTTCCGGATTCATGGTTTTCTTGCAATCCTCTGCGATCGACATAACAAAAACAATAACAAAATCAATCGTCTGAATCTAAATTAAATATGGCAAGACGCTGGGAATTTATATATAAATGTAAGTTACCTGAGACAGAAATAGTCTTGCCACCATAAAGGAAGCCACGGATTATATCCTCCTCTGTGTGAACAGTCCTATTTTTGTCCGTCCATTGCGCAACGTTCTTAATTGGCACTTGCTCCTCTGACATATCGGCCGCAGTTGTTTTCGCTATCAACTGCATCTTCGGTAACCCCGATTCTTTCGGCATCTAATGATAACGTAGACGAATATGACGATACGCATAAATGGGTAATAAATTGATTAATTATTAGATGTAAGCTACCTTCTTACTTTAGATATTCCAATGATCGGTATACGGAAGTCGCCTAATTCCATCTCACAACGCCACGGCATCGGTTTAGTCGAAGGTTGTCTGTAAAAACGTACTTCTGACATAGCATGCTTGAAGGTGCGATACTGGCCATTAATCTACGAAACATATATATTTTACAACATATGTATATGTCGAATAAATTTAAAATTAAATAAAAATAATATTAACACGTTGACTGCCAACTACGGGATATCTCGTAGGTTATTTACTTGCCCAGGACGCCAACTACGAGTTATCTCATCGCTTCATTACTTGATTAAATCAAATTGGCTTCTTAGACCAGAATCGTGAAAAGTTCCGTGGCACTCAACGTGTTAAACAACGATATATAAAAACGACAAATTACAGATATATACGCATTGTCCAGCGAATAAACACGTGCTGAATTACCTCTGCCAGAACGTTCTGAAGCAATGCTTCGCTGGCTGTATAAAAATCTTCATGTATATTATCCAATGGTCTCTTCCCACTATAACAGATATCGTGTTTACTCCGTTACTCCAATTACTATTATTTTGATGATTATTAATAATAAAATCAGGAGCTATCGATATAACATACACTGCTATAAGAAGAATTTCCTCTGAACTTAATGTCTTGGCGATGTCGTCAGCTTGAAATTGACTCACAATATCCTCGTCCTCGTTAAAATCAGACAGCAGCATTATTTTTCTCTCGGATTTATCTCTGAAATAAAAACGGCAAGATAATATATTCATAAACTGAAATATTAATACTTCATTTAAATATACTTACACGCATTCATGTTTGATATATTCGACCGCGGCATAAATTGCCTCCATCCAGGAAGAGCTTTGATCTGTAGTTTGCAATTTATCGATGCTTTCTATCAAATCCCAGTTTCCAACTTGCATACTGCACAACTCTTTTACATTGTCCAATCCTGTAACACTGTCGCTTGTACTCGAATCTGAGCCCATCAATATTACTCCTACTTCATCCTGCGGACGCAGAAATATCTGGGGACGGAGATTACTTTTGTGAATAACAGGGAAAGATGGCAAAATTTATCTGTCAATCAATAATCAAGTGACAATAAAAAATATACCTTTTTTTGAATAACATGCTTAAGAATAAACTTGGCTTTATCTAGCAAGTCTGAGTTGTTTTGTGTACCGTGACGGACCACACCAATATTCACAAGAAAAATCAAACTTTCCTGAAAGCATCAAATACGAAAAAATTTCAAGTCAGTATCAAAAAATAAATATTTTACAATAAAGCCGATGATATCAATGTACAAAATATTTCCTAACAAAATGCATACATTTTATATAGTCTATCTTTTATACTTTATAAAATACTATCATTTTTTAAACCACTTACAACTTATCGTACGTCTTATAAAAGAACTTCGATAAATAAAAATATAAATTTTTCAAAAAATATAACCTTTAATTTTTTCGGTGGCATTTTTACACGACTGTCATCAAATCCACTCGATTTGCGACGAAATAATTATAATGATGTTCACGCCTACAATCGTATCACGATTCTATGAACTCCGTATCTCAGGTACTTCGCAGCGGCTAATTCAAACATCAAAGCCGATTCTAACCTGGGCCGTAACCTAACATAACCCGTGAGCTGCGACATGTCACATGTAAATGCGACACACAGTAGCTACAATCACGGCACTCGATGCATACACGTCGACTTCATTCGTCCTTCCGCTTACGAAGTGTTGACATCGTATGATGTGTCTGATTGTTTCCGAGTAAGACACATCACGAAAATGGTACTCTCAAACGCACAATTGATTTTTTTACTAACTTTAAGTCTAGTGTCGATTTATACTACATCAGGAGAAAATAAATACTCTGCCGAAGCGAACGAAGCTAAGTATGTAGATCCTTCGCAATTTCCAAATTCTCTCAGAGATTTGGATAAACCGTTCAGAATGGCGAAATTAAATGTACTTTGGGTTAAAGCGAAAAATGTGAGTATATAAAACGAGTTAAGATCCATTCAACGCTATATTATATGTAAATGTTTTTAAATTAAACATAAATTACCTGACTAATTCCAGCGCCTGACAGACAGCAAGCTGCAGTCGATTTTCAGCGATCTAAAGATCCACGACAAAGAAGAAATCGCATATAAGCACTTCAAGTCTGACGGAAAAGATCCAGAGGGCTTAGAAGAAGCACATCTACGAAAAAAGCTGACTGGTAATTCTGATCAGATTACTTTGATCTTTCTTCCGTTATGCTAAATCTTATCTGTATGTCCATCTCATTAAAGGAATAATGAGCACATATGGTTTACTGGAACACTTTGCTGACACAGAAAATCCAGAGTTACTTAAAATGCACAAAGCACTGAACGATGGTAGCAATTATGTTGCTCAAGATATCTTTAAGGATAAAAGGCTAAACAAATTATGGGCTAAAGCTGAAATGGCTGGTTTCACTGGTATAGTATATAAGAAAAATTGTAAAATTTCTATCATAAATTATAATAATAATTATATACTACTGTTGCTTATATATCCTAGATGAGGAGCTTGAAACCTTAAAACAGGAATTTCATCATCATCAGGAAAAAGTGGACGAATACATGAGCTTATTGAAAGATCCACATCCAGGGGATTCGAAATCCGAAAGTTAGTCTTATGTACACATATTGTCAATATGCCATATTTTTCTGTTCCAATACTTTATATCTATCTGTTTAATATTTTTAGATAATTTACATCTTAAGTCAGAGAACTGGAATGAACTGGAAGAAGCGGAGGAATTACCCAACAATGTGCCAAACCAGAAATTAAGTCACGAAGAAAAGGCAAACTTACTTCGGTATGTATCGTGTTACAGTATTCTGCATATACTGGTATACAAATCGGTTCTTATCACAATCTCTATTTCAGGGAAAAACATTTAGAATTAAGAAACGGATTCGATCGCTTGGATAGACTTACTGCAAAGGGACCGAATCACAGGGAGTTCATAGAACCTAAAGTACAGGGACTGTGGAAAGTTGCTCTGGAAGCAAAATTTTCTTCCGATGAGCTAGCATCATTGAAGGTATATGACGTGTAATCCAATTAGAATTCAGTCTCACGTGCTTCCCGTTTATGTTAATGAAAACGCATCAATCGTATGGATATTTTTATTCGTATGAATTTGCATGTCTTTTGTAGGAAGAACTTCTGCATTACGAGTCGAGACTACTTAAGTTACGCCATCTTCATACTGAGGGGGCTCTAGAAGCAGCGCGGAAAGGACAGCTTCACGATTTAGATAACTCAACTGCGGAACAACATATAAAGAAACACGTTAGAACCGTACAGAAACTTCATATGGATCTGGAAACCAAAATCATGCAGAGGCATACAGAATTATAAACGGTAGTAATTTCCAAAGTGCTAAAATATTTGTAATTGATTTAATATATATATATATATATATATATGAATTAAGCGGAGGAATAATTCTTGTTTTCTTTTTATAAGAATTATCTACATCTATATGAATTGTCTCAATTACTAACATCTCTCTATGAAATATATACATGTGATTTTTATCCCAAATATACCCCGCATTTTGCTGCCTCCCCTCTCAGATCTACTGAATTAGAACTCTTCTTATATACTTACATGAGAATAAATAATATCTACAAAAATTCTACGCGGACAAGCTGTGGGGAACCGTTTGCTTCTTATCCGAGACGAGTATATAAAACGTGGAAATGTGCGAATGTTTCTCGAGTATATTAAGTTATCTAGTAGTTTTAACAATTAAATTACTAGCATTATATATAATTACAATCCAGTGGCGACTTTACTACCGTTAACCTTCTTTTTCTCCTTCGACCTCGCGTCCTTCGATCCGACTAACTTCTCGCACTCGCACCAGGGTGTACTCGATTTATCACATTGCAAAGAAATGTTGATCACTGTTAAGGGAGTATCTGTTATAGTCATTTTAATCGTGTCCAATATCTTATACGAGACATTGTTCAAGCCGGTCTGACGGTCCCGTTTTCTAGTAACTTCTCGCTGATTGTAACACTTCACCATATCTCTCTTCCTATGATTTCTGTCATGTATATGCCTGTAAATGCATATATCATATGCAACTCTTCCAGTCTTTTCGTCGTGAGACAACGTTAAAATTAAAATAACAATTGACGATGCTCCAACAAAGTGACTCACTTAAATGTATTATGCGTCCCCGTCGACACATTTTGCGGTCGGCTGACGCTTAGACCAGCCTCTTTCAGTCTAACATAGAACTCGTCATCCTCAAGACCCCAGCCCCAGTATTTGTTGGACATGCCGTTCACTTGCAGGAAATGTTCCCTGTATGTGCAAAGAATTTTTCCGATTGCTCAGGGAAAATCGATAACGCTATTGGCATTTCTTAAAAGACGGCTTAAAAAACGCACCTCTTGATGAGCAATATGCCGCCGATGAAAGTATAATAATGATACCGGGGATGCAGGTCCGGTGATGATATATGATGGGGTCCTGTACTTGGGAAGGCATAGGATAGCTGATCGTTCATAGGCAGCAGGTCTACATCATGCATCGCGATATAATCGAACGCTTTCTCCGTCTCAAGGAAGCCTACGTTTATGAGAGACGCTCGATTGAATCTATACCTATCTACCTGCGAAAGTACAACACGCATGAGATACTTCGAACAAGTTCCATCACCCAGTCACTCCCTATACGTGTATCTTCACTGTTGCAATACCTGGTTCAATATGAATATATGATAATTTATATCCTGCTTATCCAGAAATTTCTGCATGTGCGGCACAAACATCAGCAGTTCCTCGAAACGATCCCTGAACGGCACCAATAAAGCCAATCGATGCTGAGATGTCTTCTTATGTCTATTAGCCTCATCAGCCACTTGTTTAAGATGCTGATTTGCTTGTGCATTTGTTTCACACTTGCACTCGTCTGAAACAACGCAACGTTCACATTGAGAGGAATTGTTTGCAAATCTGACGACACTCTGTTTCTTCGTCTATTGTTAACTAACCAATGCTGATGGGCGCTATGCTGATTATGCATGATGTGACAAAGGTGATCAGGATGCAAGCGAAGATGTACTTGAACCTTATACTTCTCCAAATGTTATCCATTTCGAATGATGATTGCGAAAGGAGCACCTCATAGAATATATATCAGCGTTCAGTCAACAGAGATATCTTGTTTCAATACATACACCAACGCTCCAGTAGCGTCTCTCTCATTGTCGAAAGCTAAGTAACGCTTTATAATGATATGTGAGGGTTTAAAACACGTATTAGTAGACAAATAATCGTAAAAGCGGAAGGACTAGGCGCGCTAGAATAATTGTAATTTGCAAATACAATGTTGAAATTACTCTCGCAGTTCTCTCATAAATCTTCCGAATTTGGGTGACGTCGAAAAATTATTGGAAAGTACGAACGGTGTTCCGTGAACAGCGCATCTCTTCTGAGCGATACGGAGAAAGGTGCAAAGGGACGTTCCTTAAAACTTGGCTCCAATGATGATCGCACGCGTCGTCCTTCCTTTCCATCGGAAAGTCGTGTGAAAGTTACTCATTCAGCGCCACTTCTTCGTTCCCGTCAGCGACAGAATCTCTTGCACACGCGTCCGTACGAAACGTACGAGTCTCTAGCGAACTCGTAGACATCCTGTTTCCTTCAGACCCGCGCATCATCGTATCTCACTGAACTCTCGTTCAAGCGTGTGCCATTTGCGTCACTTTGCCGAAGATTCACTGGCGCTATTCGATCTTCGGCTCACTCTCCGATCACCTCGCACACTCAACCCGCACCTCGACAGAGTGCGTTCCAAAATGTCAGGATTTACACTGGATTTCGCATATGCAAATCGACAGGATGCGCGTATCGTTCGGAGGAGTCTAAAATCAATCGAGCGACTCCAGTGTCATGAATGTTTGATAAATGAAAGTCCGTTTAACACGTTGTTAAAAACGCATCGAACGCGTCAAACGTATCGAAGACGAAGCCCGACTGAACGTGTCGTTGAGCCATACTACTTGTAGATAAACGGACGTTCGGTCCTGTCGTTAAAACGTACTTCTTGAAAATAAAGCTTGCGCGTCGCTGTTGAGTGGCGACATCTACGTCAGTTAGGCCGCAGTGAAACAAAATGTCGCTTCAATTTCTCCCGGTTCCCTCTTGCATTGTCTTGCAACATCGTAATAACGTAAGTTCCTCGTGATTCTTTTGATTATTAACGATAAAATAACAACGGGAAAGGCTTGCGGAATGTTAAAATGTAAGCGTTCCGTCGGCTCGATGATAATAATTTTTGTATTTTTACGGACGGCACAAAGCTACAATGCACGTCTTCACACAGAATGCATTAAGAGCGAATCCAGGTAGAATAGGAAATAACGATAACGTAAAAAACGACGAAAAGAAACGATCGAAAAACTTGCCAGTCATTTTCTCAAAATATTGACGTCATTTTCTGTTCTACCTAGGGGAATTCCTTCTGAATTAATTCAGTTGGTTAGTAATTAGTTATATAAATACGAGGACGGGTGAAAGGAATAGTTGATCGTTCGTGGCGTTAACCTATTCTTGCATTCGATGTAATTTTACCCGCGAAACGAAATTGTCATACGTGACAAAATGAAAGCAACGGCCGAATGTTTTGAATTCCCATGAAACGACAATGTGATATCATCGGACAGCATTACCGATAACTCCCCGTCAAAGCAGCATCGATAGTCGCCGGGAATTGCATCTCGAAAGTTCAAGTAATCTGCGACTTCGTATGCGTTACTCCGATGATTATCGTTTCTCGCGCGAAAGATCGGTCAAGGCGGATTAATTCATCCGGAGTTTCGCGAGAAAGAAAGAAAGAAAGAAAGAAAGAAAAAATAAAAGGACGATCCCGCGCGTAGTATTTTGTATTCACACGAGCATGCGTCGTTTCCGTACTTTAATGACAACGACGTAACTGCTATGTCAGACCTATTTGCGCGCTATCTTTGCCGTAAATTGGAAAATTACCGCAACGACGGAGAAAAGGGGGCTGGTGGAAAAAGGTCGCTCAAATATATCGATTATTTTACTTCATCGCCGCTTGAAATCCCTCGGTATTTTTTTCCGTATTTCTCAGTTCTCGAATCCGAAGATCTCGGGTTAATCGAGAATCTCCCCGCCGTGGGCGAGTAAAGAGTTCGAACTTCCGAGTAGGCGTTTTCGAGAAGAGCCTCGCGACGCATTTAATCGAAACTAGCCGGGCTAAATCTGCGCGTTATTGACTTTCCTCTGTGTAATCACCACCAGCGTGACAGCTCGATCTCCCTTCCCGCCCCCTGGCCCAATTAACTTCCCCCGGAGACCGGCATACCATGTCATCATAATGACGCAAACGTACCTCTCTCTTTCTCTTTTTCTCTCCTTCATACTTTCAGTATTGATTCTGTGACGTCACTCGCGAAGGACGTCCTACGTAACAGGAGTCGTCCTTAATCCCCTCGCGCGTCACAGATGCGTCGCCAAATTCCATATGCTCGCGCGTGCGCGAAACGACGGCGTGAAATTCGAAAAACGATACGAAGAGGAGCCGCGATATTCTCGATTTTATCTCGCGTGATAATCGCGATAACTAGATAGATCGAATGCTAAAACATGATAAACATGCGCGCGCTTTTTGCCGGACGCATGTATTTACCTCCAAAAAAAAGAGAAGGAAAAGGAGAACTAATTGGCGTTATCGTTGTGAATTGATTACTATTAACGTGCGTGCTGTTGTCGTGCGACTTCGCTACTCGCGGCTTCTCGAGAGGCGATACAAGCATTAAAATGTATGAGCGTAAAAATTGCGCGAGGTAATGATATGATACGATTTAATCGAAACGATGCGTGCCACGCTGCTGCTGCTTATTATCACATTATTTTTCTCTTGTTGATACAATGTCGTAGCTGCGGCATTTCCATATTTAATGACCCGTTTCCATTCGCGTAAGAACAACTAATGATAACGTTACCGGTTGCACGTTTGCGCGCATCGCGATAGCCCGATACGAGTTTATAGCAGTTTGCCACCTATCGCGGAGAATTCATTTACAACTATAACAATTCGTTCGGTGGCCGTTTGATAGCGCGAATCCGACGGCAGATAGAAAATGTGCGTGCGAAGTCGCCCTCTCTTCTCCTTCCCGCCTCTCGTCTATAAATCCCCTTTCACGGTATCATACTTAATTATGACATTTATTCATTCGTTCGGTGGACGCTTCTTAAATTCAATCGTCCATTTGCAACACTTGACAGGATCGAAATTGCAATTGCTATTGGGGAAAATGGGATGCGATCGCACGCTCGCACATTGGTCGTTCTCATTTCGAGCTGCCATAAATCTGTCGTTCTTTTTCCTTCGTGTTTTTATGTTTTCCCATTCACTTGACATCCGGCATTACCGTATCGCTTGATTGTCCTCCGTGGCGGGGCAGCCAACTTCACGCAGCTAATCAGACTCGCGTCTTCATTAACGCTTTATTATTAACAACCGATAATTTTTTTCTTCTTCGTTCTCCCTTTTTTCTTCTTATTCTCCCCTTTTCTCGCGTCACTCTTCCATGTCTTACGAATCTTCTGGCAATATTTCGTCATCCGCACGTGAGAGATTTATTTTTCCGCGAAGTATATTTAATTCCCCTCGGCGGTTCATTCAATTGCCGGCAGCGCGGCACCAACGGCGATTGCACCACCAAGATATTTTATCCGATAATAAAAAAAAGAGCTGTTAAGCAGCACGTCCGTCCTTATTACATGTCTGTAATTTGACGCGAACGATAAGAATAATACTGCAGTTAACTGGCGGAAAATGATCGTGTAAAGAATTAATTCAAGATTGGAAGAACGTCGTTTGCTATAAATTTGCTATTTGCTATTTGAATAATATACGCGGACTTTTTTACGGTAGTCGCGCCTATAAACTTACCGCATAGTTCCTTTTTTTTTTTTCTGCAAATACACACCGGACAATTCTAGATATCTTGACGCCGAGTAAAATTTTTTTCGAGTTTAATTAGGCTCTTTGGGATTTCCAATCGATTAAGTAAACTAAGGAAGGTAAGAGTCAGTCACGTAGTCGACGTCGCGCTAGTGATTGCATTCAAAAGTGCGAGAGGAAAGTCGCGAATCCCCTGTTAAGTAATATCGGACGTTTCGGTCTTCGATTTCTTCGGGTCACCAATTGTTAGACCGCTCAATGAAATTCGTATTCTTTACAATTTAATTCAAAGTGATCGCTGGTAGCGTTAATAACTCGGTATCTTAATGCGAGCTATTAACCTCACGCACGAGAGATTTAAATCTATCTATGTTTTTACTTTATTCGTTCACTTTCATTTTATTTTATTCACTTAATAAGAATTACACCGCGCGCGCGCGCGCAATATCGTCGCATATTAGACCCGGCTTTCTCCGTGCGATAATCCTGTCAACCGTTCGCGGAGCAATCATGCGAGGCAACGTAAAGAAACCGACACACCTGGTAGAAGTTGAAAAAGGAGGTGTTGCAAAGGGGGGCACATAAAAAAAACGCGCCCGCCTTCTTTCCGCCTTTTTCCCACCAAGGCCTTTCATTTCGCTCTCGCCTTTTGTTCGACTCTCGACGGTTTTCTCACTAGCACACGATGATTTGCATCTGTATCAAGTCGTACAAGCGTCGTGTAAGTCTTAACTTATCAAGGGGACTTATTCACCAAGCTTTTCTACCGTTTTCTGCTTTGCTCGTCGTGCGTAAAATTACGTATCGTTCGAATAATGCTGTCTACGGGTGTGAAACAATCGTATTTCGCGTACTTCGGGCGTATTCGCTTCCGAAAGCGATTTTTCATGACGACGCAATTGCACGAAGACGTCCCCGCATGAAGAAATGATCGTTGTTGCTTTATTATCCTCGACAACCGCGGAAAATGTCGATTAATCGGTAACAGACGACTCCGGTCGGGCGATCGGGCTCCCCGCGTTGCAAAACAACGGGACGCACTCCACTCGCTGGTAAATACTCACCCGCGTAATGATCGGCTGTAAACGTGTCAAAACGACGGGCATTAAGTAACATTCGCGCGACTTCGACTCGACGGTGTGACTGACCTTTTCGTATTTACGCAAAAGCACGCGCGCCTTCTCGAGCAACGCAAAAGTTTCGCAAAATAATTACGACGACGGCCTTAAAAATGCAGCATTGCGCGCCGACATACGCAGAGTGAGGGTAATAACTATTACCACTGTGAATATTGAAAAAAAAACGCACAAATACTTTGCCAACGACTAGATGAGAACAAAAGAAGTTTACATCTACAGAGGATGTTCGAGGTAACTATTGATATCGGTGCGATTTGTTTATTTGTTAAATATGTTTTAAGTATTATTTCTATCAAATAATTTATCGCTTGTGGCAGCCATTGCTCGGACGAAAAAACTATGTTATTTAACGTAGAGATATTTATCGTTTGAGGAACGAAATATCGCCCGTTGAATCGAACATTCGTTTATTTGTTTTACACCGAAAGATGAAGTTGCTTCAATGAAAGAAATTAAATCGAGAGAAATCTGTTTCTCGGCGCACTTCCACATATTTCGAAGATATTTATATTCAAAGTAGCGTGTGTGATAGCTATCGCCTCGTATAAGTATGTATAAGTGTGCTGTATAAGTGTGCAATAATAACAAATAAATCTGATTATTCGGCAGTGCGTCGCCAAGTCGAGGACGTGTGACGTCGATGTCGTGAAGTCGCGAGGGGGGGAGTCAGCGAGGATGATTATTAATGGCGATTGAGCAACCTGAGCGCGGATATTTGTTTTTGCTCGTGAACTGCGGGCGCGATAATGACGACGGAATTCCTCGATATCCTCGCCGTTCCACGGCCATGAGCCTTTTAATTGTTTCAGACGCGGGATTCATTAATCTCGCTATCCATATATTCATCTATCTACCTATCCACCTGGATCGATCGATCGAACCACCTCGCGGTTCCAGCTAAATCATCCGCGTTAACGAGCCGCGGACGGCTCGGCGATTATTCACTTAAGCGGCGGGCGATCTTGCGCGAATATATTAGAAAGGTGAGTGATTGTTCGATCCTCGCCATCTCTCGAGCGAGGAACGAAGGATCGTTCCCCGGCAAGGTGAGGCGATTGTATCGCAAAACGGAAGAGATCGACTCAGTTCGATGCCTGTTTTTTTTTTTTTTCAACATTGTGTTAGTTAACAACGGACGGAAGCCGCAAAGGCGCTTTTCTTACCTTCTTCGAGAATTGCATTACCGGATCTCAACGATACGCGATGTGTCGTAACAGGGTTTTCGTCACCGCTCGATGACTACGACGCAACGACGACGACGACGTTACTCGTGCACTCGATGCAAAAAAATCCACACGAGCCGGCAACGAGAAGAAGAGAAAAGCGGAGGATGAGAGAGAGGAAGAAGCACGTTCACAACATTAACAACGTCTCTCTGCCCCTTCTCTCTCTCTCTCTCTCCTTCTCTCTCTTTCTCGATTCTCTTCTACCGAGTGACTCCGCGGCGGCAGCCTCATTACCGCCAAGTCCGATCCGATAACATCCCCGATGCGTCAGCGAAAATGCGAATGTGTATCGCGTTTGCGAATTTTAATATGATAATTTGAATTTACGTCATGATCACTCTCGTCGTCAGCGATGAGAGTTCAGATCGATATCGGAGGAAGGAGCAGAACGCGTTCGCAAACAGAAGAATGAGGGCAAGCCGTGTAAGTGGACCGTAAAGTGATACTATCGAACCCGGACGGCCGGGTAAAACGTTGATACATCCTTGCCATACGCTCGCCTCCATTGAGCTTCGCTCCGCGTAAATCACGCTAATACGTTCCATGAGCATGTATATATACCGTCAGGTCGATCCTTAAATCGCTGCGTGAACTATGAATGAGCAACGCACGCGTGGGCATCGTTACGACTTCGCGCGGGCGCGCGCGCGCGCCCGGCGGCCGGTGCACGTTTATCGCCTCGGGATCTCCCGTTCGTCGAGATCTTGTTTGTCGATCTCGATGAGCCCGATGCCCGTGAACGATCTGAGGAATCTCACTTGGGGAGATGACAGGATCCCTGATATCCCCGATACCGCGAAACGAACCTTGAACGATCGCGCTCAACGGATATAAGAGCAGGAAAAAATTTATCAGAAATTATGCCGCTCGAAATAAATTCTAAGTGTTTCTAAGTGCGTTCTAAGTGTTTCTAAGTGCCCTGTTTCGGAGATAACCATTTTATCCTCGTTCTTCCGCGAATATTTTTATTTTTTTATCTTTTTTTTCTTTTCTTTACGGAAGAAGGTAAATGCAACGGGTTTCGGTCGAACACACGCGAATTTTTCTAAGCGAAATTTCGGGAAAAGAAACCGAAGAAATTCGCGGAAAAATTGGGGGGAAAGGACGATTTTCTTCCGAAACTCTCGAACCATAGTTCGAACTTCGCTTCAACCTTTCTGCGAATGTAAACTATTTCCGTCTTCGTATAGTCGTGAAAAAAGTACTTCTATCTTTCGACGACGGTAGGGGTGGTTATATAAGCGACAAAATAATTTAGGACTAATGGGGATATGAAAATCGAGAGGAATGAAATGGATGAAAATAGGAGGAGAAAGAGCGTGTAAAGTCTCGTGTCTTCGCGAGGAGACCCGGCAAACAGAAGAGTCCACATCCTGTTCCATGAAAGGATTTATCTTCCAGTGGATAAAATTAGACCGGATCGTGGGAGAGGCCGTACGCACATTATAACGGTATTATCGCGCACTTTATCACCGTGTTTTCGAAGACGATGTTGATTTTCGCGCGGGGGTCAGCGCTCACGCGTCGTCGGGTTACGCAATTTTTACGTATCGGCAACCGCGTCCATCGATATGGTGGCGGCATATCGCATGTAATGTATTTTTATCGCTCGCGATAAATATATAATATACACTGAGGCTGCCTTGAATTTCCCAATAAGACGTAAAAGATCGACGATCGAAACGACATAAAACGATAATGAGGATCGGTAAACGAGACTCTTTGATTAAATGTACCAAAATATTTGGTTATATTCTTACTTTTGACGTCTCTTTCTCTCTCTCTCTCTCNCCCCCCCCCCCTTTTGTCAATAATAAAATTCATCTCCTTCTCTCTTTCTCTCCAAAATACTCCGGCGAAATATCGTCGTCTCCATTCTCGCGCACGCGATCAACCCTCTGCCGCGAGCTCCTCTCATAAACACTTAGGGTGACTTTCACTGAATCCGACGAAAGCAATCGACGGATAAACTGACAAAATCGCTCTATCCTCGCCTAAATATATAAATCATCATCCGAGACTATGCAGGACTCGATCATTTCCACCCGCGCTAGCCAGAGAGGCAGCAAGTAACGGCACTCGACACTGTGACAACGAATCTAAATCATCCCTCGGAACAAGCCGGGATTCGGTGAGAGCCGCCCTTAAAGTCGCAGAAAGCGGCGTTCCGGGGGTGGCCGCTCGATACGTCACTCGGGGGGTGACACGGCGTCGGTGGCGCGGTGTTCTCCCCGTCCGAGCAATACGCGCATACGCTCATCACGATCGCCGTGGATAGACGCGCACACACACACGTATAACGTCATAAATACGACGGGAGTACGCGCACGACGTCCACGGCACGAAGCGAGCGAGAGCGAGCGTCATTCAGAGCTCGACCAGCGCGCCGTGCAGACTTCGCGGCTCGAAGCTTTCTCTCGCGCTCGTACACGCGCTGGTACGCGAGAAATACCGCGAGCGCATCCTCGGGAAGTCTTGTCTCTCTCGTGAGACAGGTTAGTGACAGTTCGAGGCTCCAGTCGGCGCGGGTAGTGCGACGACGACGACGACGACGGTGGTACGATCAAAGGGAAGCCGGCGTGGCCGCGAGGAAAGCGCGATGGCCGGCGTCTGAGATCGATCCCACAGCGCGACGCGCCTGCGAATTTACCCCTTCGCATACACACCTGGCCCCCGGCGGCCGATCCGCAGCCTGCGACGCATCTGCGAGCACGGGTGAGAAATCCGCGGCGAGGGGGACGCGCGAGCCCGTCTCCTTGCGATTTTGAATGAAAAGTCTCGCGAAAGCTGCCGTCGCCGTCGCGAGACCGAAGGCCTAAGGGCGGTGCGTGCGAGGCGCGCGAAGCGCGCGCGACCTGCCAGTCGAGCTCGCGAGGAAAAGCGCGAGGAAAAGCGCGACGCCGTGCTCGAGCGTGCCGCGACGCGCAGCACGACGCGCTATGGCGGCCGCAGGACGCGCGTCCTCGGGAAGGGCGGTTTCAGACGTGCGCGCGGCGTGAGCCTCGAGAATATGGTGCTCCGTTTAGGGTGCGAGGATGAGGCTGCTCGATGCCGGCCCCCCGCGTGCCGCTGAAACGGGGCTGCTCGTAAACACGCAGCGTCGCGAGTTGCGAAATTTTGGCGCGGACCCAATTCCATGCCACATAGGAGGCCCTCGTAGGGTCCCGATTGATTTTTCAACTGGAAGAAATCATCATTACTTCTGACCTCAACCTTTCTTATTGTTTTAACCGAGAAAAATCATGATTTCTGCGATACGCATGTAAGATTATGATCACTGATCACTTACGTTCAACCTTTGCTTAGAAAGATGTTCCCCTTGACGATAATTCTCTCACTATGATGATTATAATTACAAATAGCGAATATTTGTCTCTCAGTGTGCGAATCGGTATCACAGAGCGCTCCGATCGACATTTCGGCTGAAATTGTTCATTGTCATGTGAAAGAGAGAGAGAAAGAGGGAGAGAGAGACGGATTCAGTATTAAATATGCGTTTTCCTTTCGATGCATTTCTTATCTCGAACGTCAACGCGTTGATAGCGCACGTGAGCAGCGCGAACGCACACCGGAGCGCACCGCAACCGTGATAAATGACGCGAACGTAACAACATGTATCTTAATATCGATCGTACTTTATAAATAATGAACCTCGCACTTAAGAGCACACGTGGAATATTTTCTATCCGCTTTCCGTCCGCGCGAAAGTGAAAACTCGTAAGTTCGTTCGCGATGCAACGAGCCTCGAGCTGGCACCAACGGCAATCGCGGATCCTTCCTTCGGACGGACTGCCAGCGAAATTAAATTCCGGGGCGGAATTTCCGAAGGTCGGAAAAGCGGGTCGCGCGTCCGCCGGCCGGCGAGAAGTCACAAGGGGGTTTGAAATCGGGACGAGACGATTATTTCGGAAAACGAGCGCGTTGGCGACGCCAACTGCCGTCCGACGATTCGAGCTCCGGTGAGCTCCGAATTCCCGGTTATTCAGGATAATCGAGAAGCACTCGAGCACCGCGTCGTCGTGCTTCGTTCGATTCCGACGGAGTATCTTATCAGCCACCGACAGATAGACGCATAACGGACGTTCTATTTGGTCGATTCCCACGTAACCGCGTGATCCTGCGGCATTAGCGGGCGAGAGGGAAGCGCGGGACGAAAACTGGGTTCGGGAAACCCGGTCGGCGACCCACGTGGCCTATTGATTTTCTCGTCGGCGCGCTTCGCTCTCCGGAACCGCCGCTCGCGCTTGGGAAACTGGCCCTTTTCGCCATCGGTGAAATATTCGCCGTAACATCGAACACTCGTCGCCGACGATAGCCCTCGAGCTGGGTATATGAGCGCGGAGCCGGAAGTGCGTCTCGAGACGCACGCTTCATCTCGCTCATTATTAAATTACAGACGAGGAAAGCGCGTTTAGCGCCTGTAATTTTCCCGTCGCCCACGCTGTCGTCGCTTGTCATCAGCCGTTAGCCGTCTCGCCGTCGAACGGCGAAATGTCAATTTCGCGATGGATCGGTCGGAATAAGCCGCTCCGTTTGTACGCTCTCGCGATTGACATTTAATAGACACGCGCGTGCGAGAGAGAGAGAGAGAGAGCGGGGACGGATGGAGGCTAATTCGCGGTCGCGTGAGATTTCATTTGAAGCGCGGGCGGTCGACTCGCGCGCGCATCGGAAGTGAATCAACGCGCGAAGGGGGGAAAGGAGGTGATTTGTCATCGGCTGGCGACGAAAGAACGACGCCTGGTCGTCGTCGTTCTTCGCGGAAGGTAATCGATGGCGCTTCTCGCCGTGTCTTTGCTCTTTCCGCAGGTGGCTTTAAGCACAGTTCGTTGGCGGGCGAGCGAGCATGCCAGTCGCGAGGAGGCCGGCTTAGGATCGATAAGAAGTGATGCAACATTCGGCCATACTTTCATGGACACCATCGGCCGTAGCGACTTCAGCCGACCACGCGACGTAACGGCTAACGAAGCATCCTCGTGACCCGTACACGTGTTAAACTCGCGGCAATAATACCGACGCGATAATATTCCGCCGGCAATACGAAAGAAAAAGGACGGGAAGGGAAGAAACTCGCTTCCCTCGACGCAATTTCCAGATTTTCAGCCGGAATTATCAAAGTACAAAGGAGTGTAATTGGAAATTAATAAGCCAAAAATCAATTGAAAGATTGGCAAATTGAGAATAAAAGTTAAACTTATTATATGAAAAATATGTAAACACAAACATCAGTAAGTTAAGAAAGTAAATTAAAATTAATAACGCACACAACGTTAATAATATACGTTATAAAGAAAGAACGCGCGCGATACGGAATAATGATTAAATCACGTGCGAAAATCCGTTACCCCGGCGAGCCTGCGGATGTGAAAGGCTTCGTGGAATACTTTTTTGCGTTGGGACGGCCGGCCCGAAGTAGTGGGTATTAGGGACCGGTATTCAAAAACGAGAAGGCAGAGAGAGAGAGAAAGAGAGAGAGATTGAGATAAAAGGGGGACGGGGTCCTAGATAATACCAGTAAGGCTTGAATAAAGCCTCTTCGAGTGTGTGTTCACGAGTGTACGAACACGAGACAGCCGCACAGACGATGCGTGCGTACACGCGATCTCAAATGTGTGCCCTGCTGCGTTGCACCGAGCAGCTGAAGCACTACGACTGCCAGACTGCCGCGTTAAGATTCGGAATTAAGGGGGTTCTACGGTGCAGATTCGCTCGCGGTAGAATCGCAGTCGGAGTGAAATATTAGAAAAATTCTGTCTCGACGACGAATTAACCGGCCCGACTGTTCTTCCTCTCTTCATTCTCCTGAAAAATTTCACGCGCGAGATTCGGACGGAGTTTGCCGCGGTAGATAAAATAACAGGTACGACGATCGCACCTGCGGCGGCGTATCTACGAAGTCGGTTGAAAATTTCGACTTTTGGTCTCTGCTTCCTCTTCTCTTGTTTTGCCGATTCGATATCACGATCGATCACACAAAGTTCTCACGACTAGTCGTCATAAAATATTTTCATTTCTCAAAGATATTCTGGGTGGTAATAATTGTTACCACCCATCCTGTATCGAAGGAAAAGGGTAATTTTAGAATCGATGAGAAAGTGAAAATCGGGAAAAGTGAAATAGAAAGTAGAGACCTGAAAATGAAGATCGCCGAACTTGCCAATCGGAATTTCGAAACGCTACTCTGACGCTCTTAAGGATGGTTTGCGCCTACTTAGAAGTCCTATGGACTGATAAAAACCTACTTTGACGAAATTGATACTTTCTAACTTCTCTTTAGCACCTTTCATTCTACAGATTGAATTTTAATGCCACCTTCATCATCCCATTTTAACGTTAAAACAGCGAAAACGGAAATTTAAGACATCATCAGGATCAAAATAGGAGTTATATTATATTATTAGAATTGAAATTGAACCTATTTCACTATCTTAGCTTCTACTATATTGTAGAATTGAAGGTTTAATACGGGGCCGAAATTTCGAGTCGTGTTACTTCGACGATCCGACGCGAAAGGGCGCGTGCAGTTCTCCGGCGATTCTTTGGCGCTTCCTCGGGCGAATGAAACGTCGACACCAAGCGATGTTGTGACGGGGAGTGCGATATATCGCAAGGTTGTTTGGTCTGTAACACAAGACACGGCATTCGATACTGGATACATCGTGTCACGGCCGGCGCGCGCCGTGCGTGATTAGAGATCTTCCACGCGCTCTTCTACGCTCCGCTGGATTCGGTTGTTTTAACAAATCGTCCCCGACAATTGCTCCCGACGTTGATCGTCGCGTTAAGGAGACCGTACGACGAGGAGGACATTGACCTCGGCACAAGCGCTGACAAGTGCAAGCTACAAGCTCGCGCTTCTAGAGCGAGCGAGCGAGCGAACACTCCTCGTCGATAGCGCAATGCCAATTACAGCACTGATCCTCCAACTTGTCGCTATCAAAGTTAACAAACTTACAGAACGGTAGACGTGAGTATTGAGCGCACGACTAATCCACGAGATTAATCTTCGTTCTCTCTCGCCGTCGGCACGGGAGAACGAAGAGACAGACGCGAGAGAGAGAGAGAGAGAGAAATCGAACTTCCCAAGTGGCGAGATGAGAGCGCGTTATTCGCCGTTATTACTGTTTTACAAACTGCTTTTTAATCGGTTGTCACTCGGCAAAATGGATAATGATATATAATAAAAATCAATCATACTGCTAAAATTATAGAGTTGATTGAAAAAAACAATCTCCCGATCCTGGGAACGAGTTATTCGCGGGCTCAACGAATGCGACTTCAAAGTGCGACGAACGTTGCAAGACCTCCGAGGCTCGCCCGAACGAAACTTGGTTCTCGCCGAGGAACCCGTCCAAGGCAGGTGAAAATCGAGCGTTCGACATTGGCTCGACGCGGGCTCGCCGATCGCTCGGCAAATCGGAGTGTTTCGGACGAGTTTCACGCAAATCGCGTTTCGACCTTTCGCAAAAATCCGACCAACGACCGGTCGGCGAGCGTGTGACGAGAGCGCATAGCCGGGAACGGGTTTGTCACCTTCGAGGCGAGTTGTTTCGTCAGGTGATAGCGAGGCGTGTATCGATGATTGCACACGCGATTGGCGACGAGTGGACCATCTGACCCGATAAACCGCGCGATAGCGACGGTATCCGATTAATTCGTGACGCTCTTCAAAAGCGAAACTTTTTCCGCCGAGCAGTTTCGCAGCTGCACTCGCGACGTGACGTTGCCATCGGCTGGAGACTTCGCACGCGCCCGATTGGAAAAGCCATCGAAGTAGGGTACCTTCGGCGAAGTTACGGCCGAGGAGGTGCGGCAAAACGCGTCGCCACGTGGTCGTCTTTATACACTCGCGGAAAAGCCGTAAGTAAGAAAGGACGACCGATGAATACCGTTGTATCAGAGGCTTACGAGAGTTCCCCGAATTGTCGGTGATTACATCGGCTCGAGAGAGGATTTACAGACACGGGATATCGGACAATTGCCTGAGAGGCGACAGAAAGCAGTGGATTACGATGGCGAATATCTTGATTGAACGTGACGTTATCATCGGTGAAAAGGAAAAAACCTGGCGAAAATCCAGCGAAATTTCGCAAGTCCTTCACAATAATGATAAGACCAATGTGATAATAATGAATAACATAGTCGCGTATATAAAAGTAAAATGATGGTGCAACGGCGACGATAATTAATGCAAATTCATATCGTTCGGTGAATTAATGCACGTTCGATAACGTAAATATCATTATATAAAAATTTGTCAGTTTCATTGTTTCAATACTAATTTTCCTCTTTGGATTATCTTCCTCGCAACTCGTGAATATCTTTACGGACTTTGACGTTCGACGATCACTTGATTTACGGAGAAAAATATTTTGCCGGCATAGCAAATTTGTCAGTTGTTATAGTGACAACAGAACGATTTGTTTTTGCACAGCGGAAACATTTGTTAAGAGTATTAATTGCTTCGTATTGGAACAGCGAAATAATTTAGTTATGCCGATTAAATTTTATCGCAACGACGTATCGCCACAGACGGCAAAATTATTTTTTCCTCGTAACGAATCTTTCCGCTGCCATCGTAATACCTGACAGATTTGCTGTGCCGGTGACAATGTTTTTTTTCCGTGTGAACCGTGACTGTTCGCGCATCCGACAGCAAGGGTCGCGAATTTTTCGCGAGATAAACCTGTTGCCGGCGGATAATAAAGTATCGCGAGACACCCCGCGAGTTTTCTCGTGGAAAGAACTGGAGCAGACGCGGCACGCCCACGCAGCATCCCTTCGCGTATCCTTGCGTTGCGTCCTCGTAACGGATAGATCCCTTTTCTCCGAATGGCTCCGCGATAAATCGGCGCTGCTAGTTACAAAGTAAAAGTTCGCCCGTACGATGAATTATTCAGGACGAGGATGGAGGGCCCTGCGAGAAAAAGCGCTGGTCCGAGCGCGGGATCGCGAATTTATACACGCTTTCATCGAATTACTCGTGACCGACGTGGGGAAGAAGGTGGCGAGGAAGACGCACGGTGATGAAAATTCATGATGTCTTCTCTCTTAAATCGGATCAGTGAAAACGTCATCGATCGAATCGGTGAGGCAGTATTTCACCGGTAATCAGTATGAATATTCACTGACTCTTGGTGGAAACACCTTCGCTTGGCTCTTTTTGTCCTATATTTCATCGACACAAACAGCTTTTTCTCGACTCTAAGAAAATAACCACGTGTTGCAAGTAACCTCTGTTGATCCTCAAACATCGTGTTTGCGTGCGAGATAGGCACCGGCAAACATGAATCCAGTCATCGCGACGGCACGATGCCTTTCGTTGAATTAAAAGACAGATATTCCGTTACTTGAACTTGATAAGCGGATATTCCGACGGGATTCTTTCATTATTTTACATTTTAAGCCGCTAATTACGTGGCCCGCGATTTAACGTATTTTGCAAAGCTGAGAAGCTAACAATATTTTGTAAAAACGAGCGCGTAAATTTAAAAAAATGATGCAAAAGGAAGGATGAATTTCGTGGAGGGGGTTCATGCGACTGTTGCGTAACCGAATGCGAGACCGGAGAAAATCAACGTAGAGGGGTTGATAACTTGTGTTATATAAAGTATCATATCGCGTGGTTCCCTCTACGGAAACCCGGCATAACCAACTTAACACTTATATTATTAAGGCTGCCGGATGTACGATTTTCAATCGTGCTCGTAAACATGCACGCACGATCGACGATCGTATACTCGCTGCGTGTGAGACTATCGTGCACTCCTCTGTACGCGACATGTGTAAACAAACTTGAACGCGCTCACGAAATTTCTCGTGGTGTGTTTCAGGAAAAATGTCGAAGTCAGGGAGCATCAAAGACGGCGAGAAGGGGCCGTACGACCCGGTGCCTACCAACGAGAAGGGCAACGACGAGATCAAGCTCGAGGCGAAGATGTCGCTCCTCAACGGCGTCACCGTCATCGTCGGCTCCATCATCGGTTCCGGTATCTTCGTCAGCCCCACGGGCGTCCTCAAGTACACCGGCAGCGTGAACGCGAGTCTCCTCGTGTGGACAGCGTCCGGCATTTATTCCATGGTACGTACAACTTCGTCCTCTCGTTCCCCGCGAGAGAAAAAGGAAACGTCGATTTTTTTCTCCGGATAAAATAGTCGGTGAAATTTATCCGACAGTCAGTAAAATTCCAATGAACCAAATTCGATTCTTACAACCGGAAGTTTTATTCCCTTCAACCGAAAACGCGTTTGGTTTGTTTATTGTCAAGTAATTTCAACCCTGAACTTATTTTTCATGTATAGTCAATCACGAAAAGGTTGGAAACAATTCTTTTCTTATTAGTTTCCGGAACGCATCCCGTGTCCGATAGGAAAATCTGTTCTTCGGTGATTCTCGGGAGATACATTTTTCCTACTGGATATGCGAGACGCGTCGCGAAACTTATCGAAGGAAAATGTGTGGCGACCTTATTGCGACTGGCGATACAAAACATCTTAATTTACCTCGTTATTATACCGGATACGGTATCATTAAAGCAATCGCGGACCGGGAGGGGATAATATCGCATTTCAGGCTATTTTCGCACGATATATTCTCGCATCGCATTATCGGTATTTAGAGCCGCGCCTCTCGATCTGGGTTTCCTCGTCAGCGGATACTTGAGGAAATCATTCGATGAATAAGGAAAGAGCGAGGGAAATATGCCGATTTAATATTTGCGTTATAATCCGCCTGACGCTCCGGATATTTTGAGCGCGCACCACATCAGCTTGTTTCGATTTATTCTCCATTCCGGCTCGTTTAATGACACGCCGGCCGGATGGGACACGCGAATTGTGCAGATGAGCTTCGCTATTTCTCTCTCTCTTTTTTTCCCTTCCTTTTCTTTGCGTTTCGATTGATCTTTACTCTCGATCGGCAGATAGGAGCCTACTGCTACGCCGAGCTCGGATGCATGATACGCAAGTCGGGCGCGGATTACGCGTACATCATGGAGACCTTCGGGCCCTTCCTGGCGTTCATGCGACTGTGGGTCGAGTGCATGATAGTGCGACCTTGCAGTCAGGCGATCGTGGCCCTGACTTTCAGCGTCTACGTCCTCAAGCCGTTTTTCCCGGACTGCACGCCGCCCGATGACTCCGTAAAAATGCTGGCCGCTTGCTGCATATGTAAGTAGAAGGCGATAGGAGAGAGAAAGGAAAAAAACGAAGGAAAAAAAGGCAGAAGTCACGTCTCAGAAAAAAAAGGAAAAGAAAAAATAACACGTTCCGACACTCGCACGGAACGACGGACGGTAAATCCGAGAGTTTATATCCGTCCACTGTTGATCGTGCGACACGCGTCTGCGAGATAAGACATTTACAGTGAGACGGAGGGAAGCTCTGTCTACAGTGATAAAAATTATAGTCATTTTGGGCCTCGACTATATTCTTTTTCCCGGTTTCCGAAAATAGTAATAGCAATATGCACGTAAAGATATTATCACTGATGCTATAGTAACATTTACTAGAAAAAAAAATCGTTCTCTTGACTATAATTTCTTTATTACATATTATTACATATAATTATAACCGTTAAATTACGCATTAATTTTATATATCGAACCACATCGCGACCTCTCGGGCCAAATCGAGCCTCACCTGAAAGGTGAGCCATAGATTTTCGATATTGTCGGCGCATTTCGGAACGTCGTCCGAGTTGCAACCTCGGTTACCTCAGATAATTCACGTGCTCCGATAAATTCATCACGTTGACCGCACGATCGATTGGAAGAGAAAAGGGTTGGGATCTACGCGAGGAGCGCGCAAGAGCAATTAAGTTTATCCGCCGAGAGACTCCCGTCGCGTACGCAACAATTACGATCAAACGAGGGCAATGCCGATCTCCAGTGACGAATAATATGCGCACAATACCGAGGCCGACGATTGAACTTCATTGGCTCGTGTGTACGGTTCATCCGGCGTTAAGCACTTCAAACGGGGCCGACGATGTAGCGCGGCACAGAAAATTCGTCTCTCCCACAGCAATCGCGCCCACGTCACCCCGACGTGCACGTGAATGTCGTCACTTCGATTCTTATCTTCTTCTGCTGCTTCTTCCTCTTCGCCTCGCCTCGACGGTGACGTTCCCCTCGCGACCCGCACTCACAGCTTTCTCTCTTTTTTGTTTTATCGAAGACATTTTTTATCATCTCACAGTATCGCCGTGACGCTCTCCGCTCGTGTCTGCCTCGGATTACCGGCTGATGAAGTTATCTCTATCGTGGATTCAGCTGGATTCAGCCAGGTTGATTGCTAACTTCATCGCGAGACTTCGTCGCCTTTCGGAAAATCCGACCGGTCCTGTAAATTCGCGTTCGGCTCGGATCCCTCGTCTTCCCGTTCGTTACCTCAGCGAACTTGCTCGACTCGCTGATTGCAGTTCGCAAAGCGGATTGCACGCTGATCCCGCGTGACCTTAAGTATTTCTTACGCGGAAAAGGCAACTCGAGTTCGAGCGCAACTGACTTCTCTTAATTTACGAAATGTCGTCAAAAAGGAGAGGACTCCGAGGTGATCCCCCGAGTAGAAGCATAATGCGAGTCTCTTTCGAGCAAAATATTAATGGCGATAAGTAACTTTCCGTGAAAAATATAGCAACGATGATAAAGCGAGGAACAGGAAGGCGTACCGAACGATTTACGATCTCGCAGTAATAACAGCGAGATAACGCGATTCCGCGACGAAATTGATGCTGACAGCGACAATGTTACGCGAGATACGCCGTTATTTAATTCGGAACGTTCACTTACGATGCACGTGCGTTTTCTCTTTCTCTCCCCCCCCCCCCCTCTCTCTCTCTCTCTCTACTAACGCGAATACGATGATTGAAGCGCGTCAGCCGCGCGACAAGGAGGAATGAAAAATGTCCTTCAAATTAATATATCCCACTTTTTTGCCGTCATGACGACAGACAGAAACACCTGTCTCGTAATGTACGTCCTCGAGTTCCATAAATTTCGTTGACGCTTATCACCAACATTGCAATAATTGCGCCTTCCCTCCTTCCCTCTTTCCTTCCCTCCTCCTAGCCTACCTGAACCGGCCATCCTGCTTTTCCACCTTCGTCCCTCTCTCGTCGTGAAAATTACGGGCAATCATGCATGTCGGTATTTTTAGTCCCTTTCAACCGCAAGAGAGAAACTCGGCGAGAGATAAGTCATCGAGAGATGTAAATCATCGGCGCGCAGTCCGTTCTCTTCATTTTCCAATGACAAATTCGAATTCAAACTGCGAGATCACCGAAGCGCGACGCGGCGGTGACACGCGTTCCTTCAAATGGTTCGCTTAATTACTCTTAATTCCGCTGAGCGGGGCGCAATCGCTCGCCGATGAAGTCGCGCGTAACATCGCCGCGCGACATCGGACGCTGTTTATAATCAAATCCGCTCTACGGCCGGTACGGGGATAAATGAAACGGCGGGATCACGAGAGGCGCGTGTCTTCGTGAAAATTCGAGGACGCACGCGATATTTCACCGTCGCGCGCATGCAACATTCGCGTGCGTCGTTTCCGGGCGAGCGAGTTGAACGAGGAACCCCGCCGATTCGAAATATCGCCGTGAATCAATCCTCCGTGATCGTATCTGAGCCAGACGATTTCTATTCGCTGCGCTCGTTTCAAGAATATTCTCATCGCCATAACACGACGCATCTTACGACGCGTGTAACAATGAGCCCAAACGTTAAATTAATTCAAATTCATTAATCCCTGACGATCGTCAGGAATCGTCCGGTGTAGTCGCGCGATGGTGGACAAATTGATTTCTATTCGCCGTGCTTCCCACATCCGAGAGATATCTTCACCGCCGGTATTTACAATTTATGACGCGTGTAACGCGATAACGCGATTATAATAAATACGTAATTCATTAGCATTCGACGATGCATTCGCGCAATTTCGACGAATTAGCCGTACGTGTGCCACAATCGACGCGCTTCTTCCNGGGGGGGGGGGGGATTTCGGGAGGATTTCGCTAATTGAATTACTCGAGGATGTTCATGAGCGGATGGCGCGCGAGTGAAAACAAATTTACGCCTGGCGAGCGCGTTTCGCCGGACGAGAACACGACCGCAAGCGGTCGTATCGTGTTCCTGCGGTCGTTTGACCGCGCACTTTTTTCTTTCGATATCGCCGCACGGATCGTTTTACGGTTGCGGGTATTACACGCAGACGCCTTTCAGTCCTCCTCTTTTGCGCGTCCAGGGACGAGCGAACATTTTTCTCTTCCGTCTTAGAAGTAAGATCACCGTTCGGTGAAAGATTTCTTTCGGAGGGATCCTTGGAGCGCGATATCCACTTGCTGAACGAGGCTGTCGGGAAAAATGAAAGTAGGGCGAAAAAAGCGACCGGGAAAACTGAAAGGATCCGGAATAACGAGCTCGCGTCGCACGCTCGCTCTCCCGGTGTTGCGGAGCTTGTGGATAAATCGATCCAAATGGTAGATATTTCAGGAGGTCGGACATTGGATATTTCGCGATTTTAATTCATGCGAGATCGCATGCAAGCGTCACGCAATGTCGAGAGGCGTGTAAATCTTGTGCACGTGCGTGACGCAAGCGCGGCCCGCTTATCAAAGTCGGATCACCAGATATCGGTTGGCCGCGGACAGTTCCGCACAGTTGAGCACTTGATATTATTAACGCATTAAGATATCGCGTTCGTGATAAGCGCGATACGTTCCCCAATCTAATGGATCGCGAAAATCGGCCCTGTTGCGCCGCCGTTGATCGGGAATCGCTGCGAGCGATCGGCGGCAGTCGACTTGACAATTAATCGGGCGCACGGACGCCTCGTCTCTCTTTCTCTCTCTCTCTCTCTCTCTCTTTCTCTCGAGTTTCTCACACGTTTCTCACATTTAATGAGTCGANGGGGGGGGGGGGGGGGATACAGAAGCGACGCCGGCGAGATGCAAAGCGACATGAAATCGTCGCTAAGCTGATACCCCCCGCGGAACTCCGCTCGGAGGAAATAAGATTCCACGTACGTGGAGCTCCATTTCCGATAAATCGCTCAACCGGAAACCGGGAATAGGTTTTCCTATTCGAGGTAAACGAAGCGCCGAGCGCGCTCGATCGGCGCGCGAGTATGTCATTTGCGAGTAAACGTACGCGGCGTCGCGTCTTCAATATTCACGGAGGATCTCCGCTGGGACATTCCCGGGGGGCGGAGGGAGGAAGGAATTGTAAATTATCGATAGAGAGCCTAGTGTTCCCTCGTGGAACAATTTGCAGTTTCTCTTTTTCGTTAAAAGGAAAAAAACGGGAAAAATCGTCCGGTGCGTCTGTCGTTACCTGTGAATATATTTTACACGTTCGATCCGGAATATTATCGTTATCTTTCAAACGGAATTCGTTCTAAAAGGACGATAAACTTCGACGAGGAATTCGCAGCGGTAGACGGTTCGTTAATTCAGCCGACGATTGGAATTCTCGAGGAAACGCGAAGCGAAGCGCGAACGGGATAAAATTTTATCATTCGCGTCGCATCAGCCTTCATACACGCGTCCTGACGTCGCAATCGGGTCGGCTTGTACGATTCTCAATCTTACAGGCGAAGACGCGAGCTCGAAGATCATAGGAAATCCCAATGAATAATCGTCCGCAGACCGGGACGTTGCGCGGCCCCCGTGCGGCAAGCGGTACGCGCAAATACTGAAATTTGTTTTTCTCGAATGAATCGATATCAATCCGCTTCCATTCTACTCCGACAAGTGATGGAGATCAATGACCAGGATGCTCGCCAGCGTGTGCACCTTCCCGCCACGCTCGTGTCAAGTGCACTCGGCAGCGTCGCGCCGTTTTTCGCGATAATCGGCGATCCGTTAATCGTGCCCGTTCGCACGGCACGTTAATTGAAAAACGACGAAAAAAAAAAAACATAAAGAAATTGCCAAACGATTGATTCGTCGAAATTCTGCCGGCGGACGGCCAATGGAAAGTGACGATCGCGGCCGGAGCTGAGCCGCGCTGGAAATGCCGACGCGGAGTCTCGTGAATCAAAAGCCCGATGGCAATCACGTCTCATTGTGAACAAATGTAATTTAATAACGTGGCAACTGGCCACCACGCACGGCATAATTCAACGGCCGGTACGAGGAGAAGGAGGAGGAGGACGGCGAAAGGGAAGGCACGAAGGAAGGATAGAGCGCGGACGAAGAGGGTGTACGAGGCAGGAGGCAGGGGAGGAAGTCTCTAAGGCGAAGGGGAAAGGGCGGAAGGAGTCTCGCGATATTCTCCGGCGAAGTTGCATCAGTCTCGGCGACATCATCTCGTCTTTCTTTTGCACAGCGGGAGGAATTCGTCAAGGACGAGCAGCGCGACGTCGAAGGACTGGAGTTTTTCGCGAAGGGCCGAAGCGGCCCTCGACGATCGTTGTTCCATCTCTGATCTTGAAAGAGAAAGAGAGAGAGAGAGAGAGAGAGAGCAGAGTCGATGAGGGTAACGACGATTCTGCCTGTAACCTCACATCTGATCCCTTCAACTTGCTGTGTTGCAACTCTTTTTTACGACTGACTATACAATTAATAAATGGGCATTACTCACCGTCGTAACAATTTCCACCAGTAGTGCGCTCCACTCACGGCGCGCATTAACTCATCCTAATGCCCAGAATGAAGTGAAGACCGCTTAAATTCTTTACCCGTCATCGTTAAGTAAGAACACGACGGGCAGATAACGATCAATGGCACCGTTTACCGAGCACACACCGCCAACGGCTCCCAACAATTACCCTAATCGAAGTATGCCACGGTTTTACACGACCGTAAAGTGTCACGACTTATCTTTCACCGATGCGCCGATGTCGACGCGAAGTCATCGCGAAAATTGCCGCCTCATCGATTCGACCGGCTTTCATCGTGACATCTGCCATCCCTCCCTGTATTCTTGGCAGCCCGATGACGATGGTCGCGTAATTCCCGCGAATCTTCCCGCTTGCCGATAATCCGTTCTTCCATCCACCCCCCCGACTAGCCGTCGGCGAACTGAGGAACTCGCGGAAGCGAGTTGGTCGCTAAGTAGTCTTAGAGAAACCGTGGGTGCGCGCAACCGGTTTCGTCGAGAAGCGCGTTAACCGACTATGACGGACTCTCGTTATCATAAAATTACGGAACATCGAGTCGCGTGAGAACGCAGCGTGAGTACGACACCTGTACACCGGCGAGTAACCAGGTAGCACGTGCGGGAGCCATCACGCGTGGCTCTTCGGCTAGCTATTCGGTCCGGGAAACTAACTCGCGGAAACTTGTTCACGCTGGCTGGCAATCGACTCGACGCACACCTGTCGTGGGTGACGCGTTACGTTGCGGAACAAATTTACCGAAAGGATGAAAGGCTAAACCTTCTTCCGTCAGAGGAATCTGAACTTTTCCTTTCCTTCCTTGCTGTAATTTAGCCGAGTTCACGCTTTGAACTCTGAAGAGGACCTCGCCGAAAACTGAAGAGTCCCGCGCGAAGAACAACCCTTTGTGTGAATTGTATCGCTATGTAACAATGAGGAATAATTTCTGCACGAGTATTCGAGCTTCTCGTGTTCATCTGATTAAAGGAAGGAAAAATCGTACAAGGTCTATCCGAGAAGGATTATCCCTTTCTGACCTTGATGAAATTCTAGCAATGGCTAATAACATAAACTAAATTTGAGTTAATCGTAATTGAGATACGTATTTTTTTACCAGTTCAGACGCTTTGTTCATAAGGAGGAATTTCATCCCTTAAACTCGCGTCCCAGCTAAGAAAATACATGTCTCAATTTTGACTGATTTATATCCGTTTTCATAGCGAATCCTAGTGTTATTATCGTACATCCCTTTCTCCCTTCGCAATCCTGTATTCCCGTATAGAAAAAAAAAAAGAAAAGAGGAAAATAACGATACATCACGCTTATATTTCAGGTGTCCTCGCCTTCATAAACTGCTGGGACGTCTCGTGGGCGACGAAGGTGCAGGATATCTTCACGTACGCCAAGCTGCTCGCGCTCTTCATCATCATCTTCACCGGAGCGTACCAACTCTGCACTGGTGAGTGTGTCGAGGAGTCGAATATCCCCCGTACCGATACGATCGACGAGATACAATTTCACGTAACAACGGCAACGATGATTGATCCTGCGTTGGACGCGCGAAATATCCCGCTCCGGATCCGACCAAGCGAGATGAGATATTTATTTACCGGCGAGCCGGTATCCCATCCGATAGTGCGATGCACAAGCGCGATAAACTGCACGAAATGGACAGGCTCACCGGGGGAGACCGCATTAAAGGGTTAAAGGTTAATGACACCGACATTCGCGCACGCTCGCGTGCGGTTCGCCGCCAATTTGCGCCGCCAGTCGCAACAATTTCGAGCGACGCTAATCGGCGCGCGTGATACCATTATTACGTTCCCCCTTCGCTTTCCGCGCTCGGTGCGATTTTCCCCCGTTTCGCAAAGCGAGAGAATATTCCCGACGAAGAAAAAGAGAGAGAGAGAGAGGGAGGGGGAGTCTCGTCCAAGCATCGAAGTTCCTTTCGTGCACTTTCGAGAGCGGCTAAAAAGGATCGTTCTTACGTCAGACCGACTTTCTCTTCGTCGAACGAATTGTCTATCCGGTTGATCGTTCCGGACCCTTTTTTTCAACACGACCATCGTGTCTTTCTCGTTTATTGGTTTCGTACTCGCTGTGTCACGCGTCGTCACGCTACAGAATGAAATCGTAGGCGGCGGGCGAAGTTAACGGAAACGAGCTGTTCGATCGCAGCGAGAATCATGCGCGTCTCCTCGTCGTCTAAAAATACAAAAAAGGAAGATTGATTGAGAAAGTGCGGGAAGAACCGAGAAATATCTTCGAGAGACAGGCTTCATCGCGTGAAAATATCAAAGAAGATCGATTAAAAGGATCCGGAAGAAGATTGGAAAAATATCTTCAAGACAGCTTCACTCCGCTAAAAATATGAGAAGGGAATTATTTGAAAAGAATCGAGAAATATCTTGAAGATAGACTTATCTTCGATGCGTCTTCGTCTAATTAAGTTCCTCCCATCGGACTCAATTGGTCAATTTGAACGACGTTACGTACTTGGCGAGTGAAATTTCAGGCGGAACTTCCGCTCGGACGCGAAGAACGAGAACTTCATCAGCTATTTATGCGAGCGAGAAAAATTAGGGGAAAGGGACCGGCTGTCCGAGCGGAAGTCGGGCGTCTTTTCAGCGCTGTACACTTACCGGACGAGACAATTTTGCCCAATCAAAAAGGTGGGTTAAATACGCAGGCGATGCGACGTGGCCGGCGTGCGTGCAAGGAATCGCTTAAATTGGACTATTCAGCGGACCAAATCGTTCCTCGGCCGTCGTGCGTGGCTATCGTCTTGCTTCTGACGAAACCTTTCTTCGACCTTGCGGCCACCATTCGACGACCGAACGAGAGCGGACTTTCGTACAATCGCGCTCTTTCGTCTTACGCAACGCGGATATCACGTTGAATCACGCGAGAAAATTGCTAATATTGGATAATACCGAAGAATGAGGATATTGAGTATATTCGAAGCGTATAACGAACGACGGTAGTGTCGCTTTCTGTTTCCACGTTTCTCATTTAACGAGACGTTAATTTAATTTACCTCCTCCCCTCGCTTCTATTTTCTCAGGACACACGCAGTACTTCACATTCGAGAACACCAACACGGAAGTCACGTCTATAGCTCTCAGCTTTTATTCGGGGTTGTTCGCTTACAACGGCTGGAATTACTTGAACTTCATCATTGAGGAACTCAAGGATCCCGTTAGGTGAGTGTCGCGAGAAAACGCTCGCCTCGATAAGTGGCTTCGGGACGAGCAATAAGACGACTGTCAAGGGCTGTAATTAGAAAATATCGCATTTTTCAACACGGACGTTAAATTAGCGGGAAACGCTTCGTTTTCCCTGAAACAGACAAACGTGCGACCTTTGAGCGAACTTTATTCACGTAGGAATCTGCCGAAAGGAATCGCCATATCGTGCACTCTCGTTACGGTAGTCTACGTTTTCACAAACATGGCCTTTTACACGACGCTGAGCCCCATCGAAGTGCTCGGCAGCGAAGCTGTGGCGGTGGTGAGTAACTGGAAGTGCACAATTAACGTTAACACTCACCTTCCCATCTTACTCATCCGCTTTCACGGTCGTCTTTTTCATCTAGAAATTTCCTTTCCTTTCTTTAATTCTATTATACTATTTTCTCTTCTCCCTTATTTTCCTCACGTCTATTTCCCTTTCTCTGGTCACTTGATGTACATCTTTTTTCTTCCCTTTTATATCGCACTTTTATTGACGTCTGTATTCCTTTTGACAATACATAGCGTCTCGTAATCGACGTACCCTAAATTTCTCGATCTATATTCTTCCCAATAACGCGCATGTCCCGGAGGCCCCGAGTAAGAGGTCTTCTCTCAACTTTTGCCAATAATATCGACTTTGACCCATGAAAATCATCACCTTAAAAAAGTTGTAAGCCTCAGTAAGCCGTACTGCCAGTGGCGCATTAAGGGAGCCATAAATTAAGCGTTTATTAAGCAAACGTTATGTTTCTACATTTCTTTTAAAAGCCGAAATAATAAATATTAATTCGAGACAAAGTTGAATTACATATATACACAATATTACAAATATAATAAGATTATTCTTTACTTTTCTTATTAATGTCATATCTATGCGTCAGTGGATCTAACAGAAGTGCACAGATATTAGAAATATAATATCTATAAGACATATATAAGATATACAAGTGTGCACGTCGCAATCGACGTGTCCTAGATTTCTCGATCGATATTTTTCCCGATCGCGGCCTCAAGGCCTCGAGAGTGAGAGGTCCTCCAAATTGGAATCTCCCATTATTCGTTCGCTCTCACAACCGGGCCCCATTGTTCACAGACCTTCGCCAATAGATTATTCGGCGTAATGGCGTGGACGATACCGGTTTTCGTGGCTTTGTCTACGTTCGGCGCGGTCAACGGCATCTTGCTCACGTCTTCCCGGCTCTTCTACGCGGGCGCCTGCGAGGGTCAGATGCCGGAGATACTGACTATGATCCAAATCTCACGGCTCACGCCCACGCCCGCTGTAATATGCATGGTGAGTGGCGCTTTTCTTCAGGTAGTTCCTCGTCCTCGACACGGAATTTAATTGGACTTGCTGGAATACAGATCGGGTCAGACACTATAGAGTCGCACTGTGAGTCGACTGGCAACGATCGTGCGCGATCGATCGTGCCTGCGCGTCCTATAAAATGCACCGGCAATCCGTCAATCAACTCTCCGTTACTGACATCAGGTGTAACATAACGAATTCGCCGGATAAAGTTGTTACGTACAAATTCCGATAGGCAAATTGTGAAAACTTTGCGTGATATGGCATCATGAATCGACGAGAAATTTCGCAATGATTGCGCTCGTCATGACGCAACGGTTGCGTCTGAAATAAAATTTCCAAATAACATTCGTCGAAATTTTCATCCGATTTGGGATATTTCTTTGGAACTGATTTATCTCTAAATTATCTCTAAATTATAATTTCGGGATAATCGCACGCTCTTACGCATTAATTGAACGCCTCCGGGCACAATTATATTTCCAAATATTTTAAACATAACTGAAATATTATTCTCAATTATCGGGCAATTTTTTCCCCAATTTAATTTCGCAAATATTCCGCTAAAATGACTCGCCATGTCGCATATCGTTTGATGACCGAAACGTTATTTCAAAATTAATTACACCAATAGTTATTAATATATTTTATAAAAGATTTTATTGCAATATCTCCGTTTCGCTTCAAGAAAACAAAATTATATCGTCAATTTGTGGCGGATCAATGGAGAGACGAAACTTCCGCGAGAATCGTCTCTCACCGTTCTTTCCTCGTCCAATATGGGAAATTGTTTTCTCCTGAATTTTCTCCTACCTTTGTAAACAGTCACATCGAACAACGTGTTTGAACGCTCGCGTGATCCAATCTCTCTTGTTGACACCAACGTGATTGCAGCGTCGGCAAATAAAAATTCAATGTAATCGCGGCAAATTGCTTCCAGCTTGTTCGAACTCGTCGCGACGATTGAACTTGTACCGTCGGGATCGAAGGTACTGATTTTCTCGCGGAAACCGTCAATCGAAAACCCCCTGACAATTTCTTTCCAGGCCCTCCTGTCCATGTTGTATCTGTGCTCTTCCGACATCTCGGCTCTCATCAACTACGTCGGCTTCGCCACTTGGGTAAGTTTTCGCATTTTCCCCCCACCCACCTTTTCCCTTCCCACTTCTAACGTCAAATACTTCAGTCCCCCGGCACGGAAAAAAAATCACTCAGTTCAGTCGCAACCGAATAGGGATGAGACGGAAACTCGGTGACGAGAAATGAATATATAAGAAGAACATGTATGTCTCCGTTGCCTCGAGACTGAGAACGCACTCGCGTGAACATTTAGCGGCGTTAAAATCCAGCTGAGACAACTGAGAGCAATTGCTTTTTCCGTGTGACTGCAAACTTACAGTCGCCGAGATGTACTCCGCACAGACGGGAATACGAAGAGATGACGGTCGATCTTACGACGACCTTCTTGCTTGAATTTTTTTTTCCGTGTAATTAACGCGCGCGATCACGCGACGACTTTCCCCTTTCCAAGCGCGAGCGATCTCTTCTCTCGGCGAGATCCGCGTAACGCCGGTCGTCACAACCGCATGACGGTATACATTGCTCGCGACAAAATCATTAATTCGACCGGATACGAATGATAATTTTCTAATTCTCATTCTTTACGGCGTAATTGACCTCGTCAGGCCGCGTCTCATGTCTACAAAGGTCTCTTTATTCAAAATTAGCCGTTTCGAAACATGAAACGATCCTTATTATCGCCCCCTCCGTTGCACCGTGCAAGGCGTCGCCGAGGCTCATATGAGAAAATAATTCTCGAATTGTTACTGACTTTCTTTTCGGCACGTGTAAAAACCCAATTTAGTTCACAAGAAGCAGAAATTCCGTTTCCCTCGGTCGAAACGCGAGGTTGGTTCCTGGTAGATTGAATTCAACGAAACTTTTTCTCCCGCCTCAATTAATTAATACCCCTCCCCGGTTACCTCGCTTATATTTTTCGAGGGTCGAAATTGTCAGAATTGAAATCGGCTAATTCCAACATCGATCGTTGTAGCTAAGCATAGGCGTCTCCGTGCTGTGCCTACCGTGGCTCAGATGGAGCCAGCCGAATTTGCAGAGGCCGATCAAGGTGAACCTTATCTTCCCAATCTTCTACATCCTGGCCACTCTGTTCGTCACCGTGGTGCCGATGTACGCCAGTCCCGTTGAAACAGGTGAGCGTGCAAGCGGTGAGAGCGTGAAATCGCGAGAATCGCGACGGACCGTTTCACGAGAGAGCTATCTTCGCTTCCAGGATACGGCTGTCTGATGATACTCTCCTCTGTACCTGTCTACTACGCCTTCATCGCGTGGAAAAACAAGCCCAAGTTCTTTCAACAGGGAGTCGGTAAGTCGAGGACTGAGCGTTGTCGCGCTCCCGATATTATATCTTCCAAATATTCCAAAAAAAATCGATTTTTCAAGAAAAGCAACAAAATTATAAACACTGTTTGATGTTGTTGTTGTTTTTTTTTTTTATAAAATTTTATCATTTTCGTGAAAAACCAGACCGGTCTGATTCCATCGTTGAAAGCGAAGACGGAGTGTCGTGAGCGTGAAATTGATCGACGTACCAATTTAGTTCTCCGTCTAATCCCCCCGTTCGAAAATGTAGCGCGGTGTGATAACAATAATAATAGCTATTACCGGTATAATATTTTAGTTGGATAATATCAATTTAATAATCGCGCGAATCACGCGGACGAGAGACCGCCGGCGATCCACCCCGACGATCTGTGCCACTTCGTGCGTCTCTGTTTAACCGATCTGTTCTCACAGGCGCCGTCACCCAAACTTTGCAGAAGCTGATGGTAGTCGTGAGGCCGACGACAAAGGTTCAGAACACACTATAACATAATTCTACTACTCTTGTCATGTCACGCATGCTTAGCACTCATCCGTTTTACTTTGCTATCCGGCTTTCATCTCGTCGTGAACGTTTACTATATCTATCTCTCTTTCTCTCCCCCCCCCCTCTCTCTCTCTCTCTCTCTCTCGCTCTCTATCTATCTGTCTATCTATCTCTCTATTTATCTCTCTCTTCGTCTCATTTCATCGTAGATCGCTCTTAACCGATTCATCGTGCATGCCCCTCTAACGCTCGGACGTGATCTTCTCTTTCGCTGTAAGGCGCATCCGTATTTCGCTGTGAATACTCTCGATCGGCTATTTTGCATATTCTCATTCTCGAAGGATACTTAATCGCGGCTCTTGACGCGTAAGCTTGAATAAAAATAATCGACGGAACGTTCGCTCGATGCGCGCCCGCTCCTCATCTCGCTTTTCATTCAACCTTCAGTTTCGAACTGATTCCAGCTAATGTTTTAAATACACCACCGCGCAAACGCCACGCTTGTTTGTTCTACGGACAATGGTCCGCTCGAGAATTCTCATACTTTGCGGAATACTTTAATATCTCCGTCGCGTCGTCGAAACTCGGAGCTCGCGGACTTGGCAGTTCCGATCGCGAGCGTCGTAGAGAGATCTCTCTCTCTCTCTCTCTCTCGTGAAATTACCGTATTATTCTCGAGCACTCGTGTCGAGTTTCTAAGAGCGTCTCTCGTTGCAGGTGCCCCTGATCGATCAGAAATCATTTTTACGCGCGCACCCTTCGAATCGGAGAAGATATTCAAGTATTCTTCCGGACCATCTAGTGCGACGCGACGACGCCGTCCGATTTCTCCCATTCGTCACGGAAAAAAAAATGTCGTTTAGCCGGAAAAATCATTTCATTTTGCGCGCGAACAGTCAGTAGCAGGGGAAGGTGTTGTACCTCGGACACTGTTGTACTTAGAACAATGTTCACTATTTTTCTATACTTTATTACTCGAATGATAGAATCGTTCAATTCAAGCGTCTCTCGGTGTAACGTTCAAGTTGCAGAAAGTAAGTGCCAAGTGTTTAAGTGCTGTGGACGTACTTTAAGAATTTACTCTGTCAAAAGTAAACTCTTTTAACTTGAAATCTGTTTCAATGTGACTAATGACTATACAATAAAATATAGTTATTTAATACTTTTTCTTGCCTTCTAAGGTTTATATTATTTCTAATTTAGGGACAGCCTAAACTACTTTAATTTTCGATATTTCTTTTCTGAAGTAATGTCGTAGAATACCAAAGCTACGTTGTACCTTGGGTATTTCCGAGGTGCAACATGATTGCGATATATATCAGCTCGTTTAATTATTTTTCTTTTTAATTAGTGCAATATTTAATTCGAAGAATCGTTCTCTATTGCAAAGTAATTTTAAGAGCTGGAAGAGTTAACTTCTTTTATTTAATTGTTAAGTTTCTTTTGTTATAACAAAAATGTTTATGTTATAATTTTATTGTGTCATTAATGTTGAAATAAAAAATAAAAAATAATGTTATTAATGGTTATAAATGTTTATTATGTTGTTGCATTACAGTACTTTTACAGTATCCTAACTTACTTTAGTGTCATTTAAAACCGTTTATCCTTTATGTAGGCTATAAGTCCAAGGTACAACTTACAACTGTCCAAGGTTCATCACTCCTCTTGTACCTAGGACAAGATAACGCTTTGTTTTCGAATGTCCTTTGAAGACATGCGAAAAAAAAGCATTTTATATTTGGCAAAGAATTTTTTTTTCCGAGTGAAATAGAACGAAACAATCCAATGAGAAGAAATCAGATAAATGTCTTATTTAATTTGTAAAAGATGGAAAGCCAAAAAGTGTCCAAGGTACATCACCTTCCCCTGTATCGAACGAACGCGAATCGTCGTAACGTTCACTTGAGTTGGCTAATACATTATTAAGGTTTAATTTCACTCGTCACAACACACCAACATCGCATATACGCACACGCACGCGCACACACACACACACACACACATCAAAACACACTCGACAGTCTCACTCTCGAGATGCGTGTTGAAACGAATCTTTCTCTCTTTCTCTTTCTTTCTTTCTCTCTCTTTCTCTCAGAGCTCTAACCAACTCGAAATCACCGACGACTAACGAACGACGATCTCGACTCCTCGCTAAAACCGCACCCGCATTCTCTGCCGTAAGCCACCCTGACGCATCCTAATGCCCTCCTTCATTCCTGTTGCAGTAAGCACGACGAAGCTACTGCAGAAGATAATGCTGGTCGTCGGCAAGTCGAAACCCGCTCAGGTGTAAACCCAGTCAGGACGAAGTCCAGCTCGAGATCGAGGAGAGACGAGGACGAGCCACTTCGGCGTAGCGGAGAAGCTTCGAGAAGCAAACTCGTCGGCCTCCCAGCCGGGAGAGTCGCGACGTTCCTCCGTTCTTCCTCCCGAGGAAGACGGGAACCTCCGACAGTCTCGGAGGCGGAAATCGAGCTGATCGAGGTTCCGACCGAGCCGAGTTCTTCCCGACTCCACGAAGGGACGGGAGCGTCCTAGGACAACAAACAGCCATATTGTGTCAGGACGCCGATTGAAGGAGAGAAAAAGAGAAAGAAAGAGAGAGAGAGAGAGAGATACAGAAGTGGCTCGTCTTCCGAGATCTCCGGATCTCGTCCTCGGATCTCGTTGCGAGAGCACTCACAGCACCGGGACACCTGCCTGCCTGCTCGCCCGATCATGAAGTCTCCAGACAAGGCTGCTATCTTTCGCCCACGGCGAAGGAGGATGTAGGCGCGAAGGGATGTCACACGACTGCACGCTTCTACGTTAATTACATAACGATCATTCGTTTCGCCCGAGAGGGTCTTGTCCATCACGCGACGGGACTCGTAGCTCGCGGAAGAGATTCCTTGAGCGAGTATAAGTTAAGCATAATCAATATCGATTAGTCGTTAATTTGAGTTAGCGCTATCAATGTGGGCCGAGGTACCACGTACTTTCCCATACACCGAGCGTCAAAGCGAGGTGCAACTTTATTAGCCGAAATTATTAGCACGAGTAGCCAAAATTGGTTAACCGCGCTGGTTGCACCATACATAAACAATACGAGAGACGTTCGTATCAATCGACGAAGTGGTCTAGCACCCGAGGCGATCGATTCAGGACTCAAAAGTCTCAAGTTCAGGCTTCAAAAGTCTTCGAGACCATCCGGTGCTTTTAAGCGTGTTTTTCACGCACGATATTGCGTCAAGCCAAACAAATCTGCTCAATTTTAGACAAAATTAGCGCAGCACTGACACATCGAGGGTAGTTCCTGTTAAAAGAAAAATACATTTTCCAGCCTCGAAAAAGCACAAAGAATAAAATAATCTGTCGGTAATTCAAAGACGCATTTCAGCTACCACAGCTAGATTTTGGCTGCTACGGCTAATTCTTTCTCCAATGTTGAGACACACATGACGCCCGGTCGATACTCACGGATAATACTCGAACGCGCTTCGACAATTCGCTCGAGCGAGCGAGAGAAGGGAGTAAATCGCGAGTCGTGAAACACTTAACCGCCCGAACACTTCCGGGCCGCATTTAGGTAATAAACGACATTAATCCCGAGCACCTCCGGGGTGAAAGCCGTCGGGACAAGATTACTCACCGAGCAGGCGTTTCCCGGGATTTCCTCGGGAGAACGGACGGACCACTGATAGCGCTACTGATCACGCTGTATCTATCGAGTGTGTCGTAAGGAACGTTACTTTAGATTAATTGTATCGCGCTCGTGCATTCTCGACGCGGGTTGTCGAGACCAATCACGACCGCCGCTATCTGCGCCGCCGTCGCGACGCAACTTGGATTTCGATCGCAAGGAATTAGCGTCTTATTTATTTATCGTCCTCGCGGCGACTAGGGACGAACGCGAGTCACGCACTCAATTCGTATATTCCGTCGCGTTTCTATTAAAAGTGATGAGAAGGACAGGAAAAAGCAAGAAAGATACCGCGCGATTCGTTCGCGCGCCGGCCGGGAAGCGGAGAAGCCGAGGCAACAATCGGTGTCGAATCACGTTATGACTTCGAATACGCTTCGTTCGTTTAGCGCCTTCGTTAGTTTAGCCGTTCGTCAGACTAGATGCTAGCGTCTGCGTTTTGCGATTCTCCTAGTAACGCTCTTCTCGACGTTACCTCGACTTCCGACCGGTCACTTCCCGGCCCGACGTCGTCCCGCGTTTCTCCTTCGATCCGAGCTCGACGCGAACCTCCACGTACCATCGAACCATTTCGTTTCCGCAGCATCGCTTCTCCTCGTTCCACGCGTTGTTTCGTTCGGCTAGTACACGCTAGGGATGCAAATATTCAGAAACGATATTCCCTCCCCCCCCCCCCCC